CCTCCATATCGGCGCACACTTGGTCCGGGAACACACGGACACGAGGTGGAGAGAAGCGCGGACAGAATGGGACGTGCCCTCAGGTGGTGCTTCGGACCGGCGAAATGAATTGTTTAATTGAATTAGCCGGCCTACCACGGACGGGGCCATCATAATTCCCTCGATGCCTGCTAATTGGGCCCTCTTTTCCACGATTATTATGTATCGAGCACCGCCGCCCCCGTCGAACGATCGAAGGTTTTTAGGGGAACAATCGTCCGGAGTAATTTCGATGAACGTCCAACTTCGTTAGATACGCGTCGACGAAACTCTGTGAAACGTTTCTTCAGAGAAATTGCGAGTTTTAGGTGCTTCTATTGCGGGAACATTCGTGGATAGTAAGGGTTGTTAAGATGTTTTCAGTGTTTACTACTAGCGATAGTTTAGGAATTAAGTCATGGACAGGAGTTTCTAAAAATAATGGTATTGCTTGATTTTTCTATTGATTTTTAATATAAAAATTTATCTTCTTCTTTCTTTCATTAATTATTGAAATTCTTTCATGAAATTTAAAGCGTTAAACCACTGATTCATAGTCCACCGCAATCAGTATTTCTTTGTTTCATTTCGACTTGAAAATTTATTATTAACTTCCATTAGATTTAATGGAATTATAATTCATACTATTGTCAACCGTTATTTTTCATTAAAAATGTATTTTATATTAATATATACATATTAGAATTCATTGGTTTGATTTTCGCCCCGACGTCTGACTAATGGTTGACTTTTCTACTTAAAATATCAAGTTCAGTAAATAACTATCAAACTTGGCATACCACTGAAATTTCTTTTTATTTATTATTTCAATCTACAATATCTTTGTCAAATTTACCCATACATCAATCGGTCTGTGCAAAATTTGTGTCTGAAAATGAAATTTAAATTATCAGTGTCTCCGCGGTTCGCCTTCCAAAGGTTAAAAATAATGTATCCCCTTTTTCATGCGATAAAACAACGCACCCTTTGAAATATCGTTCTAATAGGCTTTCAAAGACTTCAACCATCCCTTTACTCGCGTTTTTCCAAGGATTCTCTAGGAATCATCGAATCCATCGATGCTAGTCGTCGATCGAAAGGCTCGGTAACCTCGTCAGGGTCCGCTGCTGAATTATTGATGGCCGGCACTTAACACGGCCGAACAGGAGGATCCTTATGTGTCCGAGTCGTGTTGCCACCCTTCAACGATATCGCTACGGATATAGCCATACCGACAGTCGCACAGGGGACCTCTTCTATCCCAGGTCCCGTGGGATCCGCGAGAACCCTGGCCCACTTGCCACTCGGTGCCGCCCAATTTCAACAAATTTCACCGAAAGTTCCGCGTAATTTTATTTTCGCACGTCTGCAGACAGAGAAGAAGTAGAAGAAGAAGAAGAAGACCCTCGGTTCCTTCTGACCAGCTTCTTCTTCTCTAGGGAGAAACTGGGATGAAAACGAACCAACACACCCTTATCCTTGTGTCTTTCGCGCCGCCGACCCTCCGTTTCCTTTATCTTTGCTCAATCAGCAACGGAAGCTGCTCTAATCGCACTTTGGCCCGTGTTCCGTGACCATGGATCCCTGCTAACCTGCGTTCACCCTTCATCTCGCGAACCATTTCAATCGTCGATCGACGATTATTTCTAATTCGTCGAATTCTTCGCATCGCAATGCTGCTTTAAACACATCTTTCACAGTTACACGCGCATGCTTCTCTCTCAAAAGGTATCATTCGTTTCGTTGCATTAGCACACAACGAGTCACGCTTTAGGGACGATGATTTTTTGCAATTCGAATGCAGCCAGAAGTGATACCTTGCACGGTGTTAGAAATAAACCATGCTTTAAATGAATTTCAAACAAAAATGCGTACATAATTATTGCCGGTGATTCATGCGACTCGGACGCGTCATTGATAGACCATATCAAAGCGCATCGTTATGCACATACGTTTTATGCAGTGGATAATACAACATGTATCAATGCAGTTATTGTTTCCACGTACTCATTGCGATTCCGAAACGAAGGTAAAGAAATAGAACCCGCATGCGACTGACAGCTTTTCTCGTTTCCCGCTTTCCAATTGATTATCGAAACATTCACTGGCATGGCGGTCACTGGTGCATCGCGACGCCTCAAATGTAATGCAACTTGAACTCCAAATTGCATTCTTTACATCTGATACTCTCCTGTTGTCGGGACCCTAAAAACGCCAGACGAATGAAATATTTCCTCGTCGGACAGTGCTGTTTCAACAATGAACGATCAGAACCGTCGAGGAGCCACTGTTTGACGTAACTGTCGACGAAGTGCCCGCATTTTAGTAAGCTTCGTTGCATACGGTCCCGTATGCGATGCACGTAGAACACTCGTTTCTGCATTCGCCGTCGTAAAAAGTCTGCCCGCGACCGTGTTCCTATCCGAAATTCCAGCGAAACCCTTGAACCGATAGTAAAAAAAAATAAAATCTTTGCTTTTATTCGTTTGATATTCATCGTAAAACTTCGTTTAACAAACTAGACGATATCGTAGAATTTTCCTCTTTTAATCGCGTTCAATTTTCGCTACGGCTTTTTCTCGTCCCTTCTGCGACTCTCGCGACTCGAAACAGGGTAAGAAAGTTTCCTGCAACTTTAAATTGCCGCTCAGGATTTCACTAACGAGCGAAAGAATCGCTTGGGCGGCATCGATGGCAAATGAAATTTCACAGCGATCGTGTTTTTCTGCCCGCACCTGTTCGCGGTGAGAAGAATTCGTCGTGCTGCTCCTCGCTCTTCTCGTTCGAGGAACAAGCAGAAGGGAAGTGTCCCCGTGATTGTCCCAGAGGGACAGGCAAAAACCGAGAACTCCGCTTAGGGGTGCGAAAAGCGCGATGTTGGAAAGTCGCGGGGCGCTTGTAAAATGCGGAAACAAGACGGTTTTCAGTTTTCCTCCTTGCTTCTCCGAATCTTTGTATAAATTTCTCGTTTCTCGCCTTGAAGACGTTAGAAAATTTCAAGTCTCTATGCCAAAGTTCCAACTGAAACCACCGTAATGGGTGCAACGTCGTTTCCTGCGATCATCGAAGCAGGATCCTCCTCGTTTTACAGTCGTTAACCACGATGGTTGGCCAATAAAAATCCTATCTTGTTTTCAACCCTTTCGCGTAGTTAAATGACGCGTTTAATTGCCAGTTTTTTCCCTGGCGTTCTTCATTAATCGCTCGGGAACACTTTGCTCGGATAGCTTGAACCATCTTCTCTGATAGCTCTTAGCGGAGAACATTTGATCGTTGAGAAGTGTTTTATCGAATATTCAAAGTGTTTAACTCTTCGATTGTTGCAACACGGTTAAGACTGACCGCGATGGGTTAACCAAACGTTTATGGATTGTATCGTGATTCAATTTTGAATATTTAATTAGTCTGTTACAGACTAATATATCAAAACGTAATGAAGCGAAGATATTCAGTTTTATACGTGTCAAGGTATTTGTTAACGATCAGCCAAGGCTCGAATTTGATTAAAATTAATGTTTAATTCATTTCGTTACTTCGCCTTTCGTAAAATCGTGCTTCCCCGAAACTTCGATAGAATCTATACTTCAATATTCAGTCTTACTTTAATTTTTCCTGCAACAGACGGAATCACCCTCTTAAATACACTCGCGACGAATCTAGGCTTTCGTTAATTTAATCCATTCGTCTGAGAATCGCAGACTGATTAAAGGGAAATGCATTTGCAACCCCGTCGCACCCTTTGGAGAGTGTTGTAGGCGCGAAATCGTGACGATTGTACATCCCGATTGTAGAGGTCGATGCGTCGGGACGCGGTGACCGATTCTCTGGTTAACAAAAGGTTAATGACCGTGACGAGTAGAGGGAGAACGGGTTTCGAATAATGCGGATTACGCTGCCATTGGTCGGCGTTTAAATGTTTAAATGCAAAACCGGAATCGGTGGGCCGTCCACGGGGCGTGGTTAAATGTTACGTCGACATTCACCCAGATACATTCGCTGGCATGTCAGCAAACATAGGCATGATAGCGTTTGAATAATGTATGCTGCTTAAGCGGGTGGCCGCTTTTGACGCGCGTTTGCTCTACGCTCGTATCCGCGCCACGCCTATGCCGATATTTTTCATTCAAAACCATTTCATTTTTACGCTTAAACGAGTATGCAGTCCGGAAGAGAAATGAAAGAAAAATCATTTTTTTTTTAAGTATAATCATTAAGGGTGGAATAATTTATTATAAGATCTATGACCCTTGTGATTTTTAAAATTAATGTTAGATTTTGTTAGAGTAAATTTATTTGAATAGTATGAATTTTGTAAGAAATCCAAGTTGGATAAAGGAAGAGGAAACGTTTATATTCTTGTTGAAAGTATTTCAAAGAAGATGTAATAATCAGGTAGATTCAGCTTTCTGAACTTATCGCAGTATGAAAATGGAACAGTCACCCCAGAGGGTGCTACGTACTCTAGGTCAATAGCTGGTAACATGATTCCGGCAGAGCAGTTAATTCGCTGCTGGCATATCAAGTACCGAGAGTCCTTGCGGTAGGACTACGCGAAACGAATATCTTAAGGATATCATGAAATATAATTGAATTTCGGACGGTAGCCGAAGATGTCTTTCGATTCCAGACGCGTGATCGGTTACAACTTTCAATTTGTCGTAAACTTGTAAAAGCCGAGACGACGAATAAACATCGAGGTGTTGAGAAATGTTACAGTGAATCTCGTCGTTTCCTGAAGCTCGCGATGGAATACGAAAGTGGAACTGTTAAATAAACATTTATAAATTAGTGCCTCACCCTGTGGCAATCGATGAAAAATATTTCGATCTCGTTACGAAGTTTCCCTCTTTTCACTGAAATTCGCAGACGAAATAATAGAAATGATTGATTCCCGACGCGATCGAAGACCGCGAAAATTAGATTTATCCGAACGACGAGATTCTTGCTCGTCTAACCTCGCCTGTGTTACCCTTCTGTTACAGTATCCAGGAGTTACGCAAGGAGAAAAGCAGAGACGCTGCCAGGTGTCGAAGGGGGAAAGAGAACTTCGAGTTCTACGAGTTAGCGAAAATGCTGCCATTACCGTCGGCTATTACCTCCCAGTTGGACAAAGCCTCTATAATAAGGCTAACCATCTCGTACCTCAAACTTCGTGAATTCTCGGGTCACGGAGACCCGCCATGGAATCGGGATGGGCCACCGCCAAATAAATCTGGCAAAGGTAAGGACCTCGTTATTAACCCATTGAGACCATGAAACGGGGCCATTTCTCATTCGCCCTAACTAGGATCTTTTTTCTAAGCTCCTTTAGAAATTTTCAAATTAAACAATTCTGGAATTGCGAAATTTTATAATAACGAGGGAACCAGTCAACTCCCTTATCGTTTAATCCACGTTTAAGTAAAAATTCTTAACCATTCAGTGAACGGGAAGAACAGAATCATTCGTCTCGTAAAATAAACGCATTTTCCCTCTAACATGGAAACAACAGAGATCCCTGCTTATTAGAAAGTGTATCTGCTGTTGATATCTGCTGATGGATCAGTATTTAACCCCGATAGGGGGTGGATTCGTTGAAGATCGACGAGCGTGCACAACGAAACGTGTCCTTCGAAATGAAATCATTGGTGCAAAAGAAATTCGATCCAAAAGGAATGACATTACGCCGAGAAGGATGAGAATTATTTGAAATATTAATTCTAGTGTAATCGGTAGAATTCTTTCGCCTACGAAAGAGCTGTTTCCTTAAATGAAACAGAAAAGGGATCCAATCGGGACAGTGTCGGAAATTAATTGCAAAACGTACTCTTATCGCGTCCTATATAGGAGGGCGAGAGGGGGATGGTGAATTTCGATGGAAATTCACGGGACACCGGTATCGAATTAACCGGACAAAGGTCGTCGAGCAGCAGTTCTTAAGGATTCGCGTAAGCAAGCTGGCAATAGATGGAGAATCGCGATATCCTTTATAACTCGAGTGACCACGCAGCCAGCGTAGAGATTCCCAGATACATAGTAATAGAGAATTGTCGGCTATAATCGACCGATACCATCGCCATTGGCTTTCTTCATTTTCGTGGTTCATTTAACGAAAATGGGAGACCAAGACCGGGCCATCTCGCTTGACCGAATATATATTGAAATGTTAACAGTTTCGTTTATCCCTTGAAAGGCCTCGACATTTTTTTTATTCCAGCCTTGTAAAAAACTTTTCAGATTATTTCCTCTTCACCAGTGATGAAATATTGAAATTTCTAAATTTCCACTTGATCCACTCACTGTTACTCTTCTTCGTCCCTAAAAAATCTCACCCTTGCAAAATTCTGGAAGAGAGTCAACGAAGTCTCTTTCGAGGTGCTCGTTGATAGAATTCACTTATTCATCGGGTGCTACTTTCGGGATCGGGGGTGGTTTGGTTGAGTTAATATTTGTCGTGGTACTGAAAGCAGGGTGAACAAAGACGGAGGTCGGTAGAGGGAGGGAAATTCAGTGCGTACGTATAAAGCGGGGTACACGTAAAGGCTTAGGTGGCTGCACCACTACCTACATGGAAATCTAATCACAGCAACCCCTACGTGGGCCTCGCGTTACCAACCGCCAATGTAACTAAACTAACGAAATTGAGTTAGGCACCGTCCGCACATCGCTGCCGCAGCTCCTCGTCAAACTAAATCCAGTACGCCTGTTTCACCCTCGCCCGCATGTCAGTACCACAACTGGAACGAGACCTCTCGACTTAACGAAGTAAAATGCGTTAAAGATTTCCAGACACGTCGGTTGATTTATTTTCTTTCGTTTTCTTTTTTTTTTTTTTTTATCCCCTTCTTTCTGTGCGCGGCTTCTGCGCTCTCGCGCGCGGCAATTGACGTTTTATTCTTCTTCTTCTTCTTGCCTCAGTTTCTCCTCTAGTCGCCTTTTCTTTATTTCGTGTCGAGTCGCGAGGTAATCGGAAACAATTTTTAAGAGATAATTTCAGTTAATCCGAAACGGGTTTGTCGTTTCTATTAAAGCGCTATTAAAAGTTGGCAAAGCGATCCGAACGAGAGGTGATTTCTGGAAAATAGTGCATTTCGGCTGGTACAATTTCAGAAATGAATTTTCCTCGTTTATTATAATTTTATCCTTCCTTTATTTTCATCGGTTTTACTTTTAAGTCACGTTCCGCTTTTTTCACTCTTTCTTTTTTTTGTACCAGCGACACGATAGGAGCGGTTCCAATGGCCATTCCCGGAAAAATGTTTCGTGCAACAACAAAAGTCAATCGACACGTACTTTCGTACAATGATCGTAAAAGATAACGCATTATCACGTTTGCTTTTTGTTCGATTGATAAAGACGAGAGACGCGGATATTTTTCCATCATTCCCCAAGGAAATATCCTCGGGCCACCGTGTCGGACAACAGCCCCGAAACGTCCCCATAGAAATTTATCAAAATATTATGATGTCCGTCGTGAGAGGAAAGTAGCGACTTCGTTTTTCGAAATTAACCAGCTGTAGAATAACAATCATTCAATTTCTGTCTCTGTCTAATTACGAATAAACAAATTTTCTTGAAACACAAAGGGTTAACTTTCAAGAATCTCATCGAATCAGTGTCAGTTTCACGAGATAAATTCTCGCCGGACGAACTGTCTGAGAAAAGCTCTTGTTTCAAGAATTCAAAGAGAAGTCGATTCGGCAAAAGTTGAATCGGTATTCACGAAACGAAACGAAACGAAACGAAACGTCGCGCGTTTGAAGGAAGGAACGCGATGGACAGGCGAAAGTCCGAGCGGATTATTCGAGGATCCGGGTCGGAAACATCAGAATGAACTCGTTGACCGAGGCTACGAAAGGTGGGGTCATCAATCCGACCAGTTAGCCCGCCACTTCGACCCGTTTCTCCTAAGGGCTTAGCAGATTAAGCGGTTCGCGTTGAGTTTGATCGACTCTTCCTAAGTCTTTCATTACGGTAGCTGGTAGGGTGGGCTTATTATTAAGAAGGGTAAGGAAGACGGCCGTCTTGTTTGTTAAACCGTAGGGGAGAAAGAAAACGGAAAGGGGTCACCGGAGGGCACACACTATGTGACTCACATTGGTCAGAATGAACCGAAGGTTAGCCCCCGATCATTGGCCGTCAATCAGTTCGATCTTTATTAACTCTTTGCCGACCTGTCACTCCGATAACAACCCCGACTAACAGCATCGATATTGAAATCAACGAAGGATCAGTGGTTCTTCTACCGATTCGAATGAATTTATGATTCCAGGTGCGAATCGGGTCAGGTCGTCGGCGATTTCCGCGGTGGACTACTTCGATGTGGATCATGGCACTCATCTACTTCAAGTAAGCATATGATTTTAAATGAAATTAAACCAAGAAGAAAAAATCATCATCTTTTGTTCTACATTAGAAAATAAAAAATTGTCAGATAAGATATTTGAGATAGACCAAGATCCTGTGTTAATAAAAGAAAAAAAGAAAGAGAGATGGATGAACATTCTCGAAGAACGATTGCTTCAATATTTTTCGTTTCAGTCGCTGGACGGGTTCGCGATTGCGGTCGCCGTTGATGGACGGTTCCTGTACATATCCGAGACCGTCTCAGTTTACCTTGGACTCTCACAGGTGAGTGTGTTCCTGTTACTACGTTCCTTTACGTTGTAAGCGTGACTCGTTCGCGGGGATGTTGATGGAAGACGGTAGAAGCAGGGGGTTGAATCTAGGCTGGTGGTTAGAAAAAGAGGAAGATACCGAACGGTAGAGATAGTGGTATACGGGGAGGAGTGTAATGAAGCGGAAGACATATAAGACACAGGCATGCACGTGAAGCTGGCACGTATGCGAACCGGAAGGGCAAAGATAGCCAGTAATGGAACGGGCGCGGCGGGTGGAAAAGGGACGAGTGTACAATGAAGAGTAGAGAAGAAGAAGAAGAAGAAGAAGAAGAAGAAGGAGAAGAAAAGAGAAAAGTTGAAGGATATGGCGGAGGTGGACGTCCTAGTATAGGAAAAGAAGAAGAAGAAGAAGAAGAAGCAGCAGAAGTAGTAGCAGAAGAAGAAGAAGAAGAAGGAGAAGCTAGTAAGGCTGGAAAGAGAAGAGGTGGATAAGGACGAGAGAGGTCAAGGGAGGAAAAGAGGAGAAGGTTGTATGAGTTGGCGGCCATACTGGCTGGCACCAAGCATGACATAGACGAGGGAAGGATGGGTGGTTGGGGGCGGGGGTGGTCGCATGCGGCTCACGTAGCCTCTGCACGGCGGCGTGTTCGCCATTCCTAATGCTGCCGTGAAGGTAGATGGAGAAAAGGGGAAGGGGAAGAGCGGGAAACGGTGGAAGAGAGAGGAACGAGAGAGAGGGACGGGATAGCGGGAGGAACAGGAGGTGTACGGGAGGTGACCGGTGTACCAGCTCGGTTCTGCGAGACTCGTGGAGCAATCAATAGGGTGTTTCGGGGATTCGGGAAACCGGCGCCGACGTTGCCACAAACATGGCTGCCGACAACCCCTGCCTGCCTTCCAGATCAGCTTCTTCATCGTGGAACCTCTGGAACTGAAGGAAATGCATCCTTTTTTAGTCAGGATACCTTAAGTAAAGACACCAAACACAATAGCAACCATCAGGATCTTAAGATCCAACCCCTTAGTTTTAAGATTTTAAAAGCACACCCTTGATGATCGATCGCGTATGTTCCGATAAGTAGGTTACAATTGAAACGTAGCCATTTTGCATCGTTCAATGTAGATAAGTTGCTACCTCTTCTCTTCTTTACAATGAATATTCCCGATCGTTGACGATCTCTTTTAACCAGCTTGATTTTTAACGGCTGCGGTAGCTTAGCTTGAATTCGTCGCCGGATGAGGAGTGGGGGTTTATTATTATTCTGTCGGGAAGTTCGATTGAAATTAAAGTTTCCACACCGATGAAATTGACTTCCGTTAGAAGCGAGAGTTTCCATCGAGTCTGGGAACGGGAAACCGTGTACCCCTCTAGAGCTCTAGTAATCTACTTCGCAGGATTTACATACCTTGTCTTTGAGCGAGTTCCGGGCATCCTGAGATCGACGAATAAACCATATCCGAACTATGTATGCTCGAATAATTGCGTAAAACAGAAAGAAATCATTTTTTATTACCTCGTGGATTTTAGTACATTAATAGGGGTGTGAATTTAAATTTATTTTAGAAATCTTCAAAAGTATTCTTCCATGGAAAGAAATAAAATGTATTATCTTTTTCGGGACATTGTTAAAATTCATACCAACACCGTTTAAAGGAAAAAAAAAAAGGGCAGACTCGACAAAGAAGTTCTTTCAATTCACCCCCATGGGGACAAATTCAAATAACCGTACAGGCAACCGCTACATGACAATTTTATCAAACTTCGGTGTCACTTTAATTCACTCTTGGAACATGGATGAAATAGAAGTTATTTTATACAATTTTATTAGATACTTGCGTTATAGTATCAAGTACCATTCATTCGATAATTCTGTAGAAGTAAATGTATCGCGAAAACGATAGATATTTTTAAAGAAGAAAAGGATACCAGCTTTGGTCACGTCGAAGCAGTTTTTCGTGGAAACTATCATATTAAGAGCCGCAGAGTTTCCCTGCAGTCATGTTACCTCGGGGAGAACTGTTCTCGAAGGCAATTTTTCTTCTAATTAAGTCACCTCGCAGCTACTTGTCAAGAAAACTGCGATATCTCGACGGGTTATTTCCTCCCTTTACGTACATCTTGCAAACTTCTATGTCTTCATTTTCTTTCGATAGTTTTATGTTTAATAATTTCCAAATAAATAATTCACTTCTACTTTAGGGATGTTTCGGGTTCAAAGAATTAAAACAAAGGACTGAAGTTTTTTAATCAGTTTATTACAAATATGAATTACATTTATTATTTTTTAGACATTTTAGGTAGAGAATATCTCATCTCCTTAACTCTTTATCTTATTTTTTATGAACTCTACTAAAAATACGCCAACGTTTATGAGTAAAATATAATTTGAAGACCTTGGCACGTGGCTTCTCGATAAACAATATGTGTTTAAATTTTGAAATTCCAGGTAGAGATGACGGGATCAAGCGTTTTCGATTACGTTCATCAGCAAGACCACGCGGAAGTCGCGGAACAATTAGGCCTTGGACTGACTTCGAGCTCTTCCGGTCCACACTCGTCGAGTTCCGGTTTAGCGTCGCCGAGCAGCGCGGCGTCGGAAGAACACGGTTCTTCTTCTACCGCGAATCCCGATGGTAAATATCCTCTACTGTAAAATCTTGAAGAAATTCTGAAAAAAAATTAATCAAATAATTATTCTTTATTTTTGAATAGTTTCCTCGGTGATGTCGTTGTCAACGACTGGTCTTTACAAAGGATACGACCGAGCGTTTTGTGTCCGGATGAAATCCGCCATAGCGAAAAGAGGGTGCCATTTTAAGTCTTCTGGTTTTAGGGTAAGTTTAACAAATCTTCGAATTCGAGATTGTGAACCGTTTTAATTGTTAATTGAATCGTATAAGTTCTCCTGAATCGATCGTATTCGATTGACTAAAAATGCCAGGTGTTAATTGAATATTATGAATTCAGGTCGTGTTGATACTGTGCCGTTTGAGACCACAGTACACGTTTAGCCATACAAGAAAGTCCGCGCCACCATTGATAGGCATGGTTGGCTTGGCGATCGCACTTCCTCCGCCGAATGTGCACGAAATTCGCCTGGACAGTGACATGTTCGTTACGCGAATCAACTTTGACTTTCGGATAGCACACTGTGAACCGAGGTGAGCTTTTAATTAATAGTTTCAATAAATTTCCAAACGTTGCTGCTGAAATCCTAACGAATTGTCCTAATAAAAAAATGAATTTTTTTTATGAATTTATAGGGTATCCGAATTGTTAGATTATACAGCCGACGAATTAACGGGGAAGAATCTTTACGCGTTGTGCCATGGAGAAGATGCTAATCGTCTTCGGAAATCCCACATCGATTGTAAATATTTCTCTTCCTTCTCGAATCTTCTACAGCGACGAATGATTCATCATTTTTCATCGAAACGATATCGTTTGTTTCAGTGATCAACAAGGGACAAGTATTGACGCATTATTATAGGCTTATGAATAAAAGCGGAGGGTACACGTGGTTGCAAACGTGTGCCACCGTGGTGTGCAACTCGAAAAACGCCGAGGAGCAGAATATCATCTGTGTCAATTATGTCATTAGGTAAATTAGAAATTCCACTTTATGAAATATTCCTGAAAGGGTATAATCAATAATAGCGATGTCTTTTTTTCAGTGGACGGGAATACGAGAATTTAATCATGGACTGCTGTCAACTAGAAGAAGGTGTTATGGGCGTTAAACGCGAGGAGGCTGCTGGAAACGATCCAGAAAATGGCTCGCCGGATGCTGACGGAGGAGGTATGGAAGCAAACGATCATATAATTACATAAAATACAGCACCACCCTTTGTTTAATAAGCTCCTCGCTTATTGTCCCTGGTACAGAGGGAAGAAATCACGGTGGACCGCCTAATCAGCACCAGGAACATCCGCACAGGTCTCCTCCGGAAAATCGGGAAGAAAGCCGGGGCTCGGAGAGCGAGAAGAGAGGCAGCAGGCACCACGACAACATAGCGCAATTACAACAAGAGCCTCAGACAGCTGTAGGAAATATTAACACTCTGGTAGTGAAATTGCGCGGGCACAAACGGAAGCTTCACGAGGAGGAGAGCAGCTCGAACGAAGAGGAGGACGAAGAGGACGCAACGGTGAAAGTCACGAATAACGAGAGAAGCCACGCTCTAAGTCCAGCTCCATCAAACCATTCAATTTCAGGAGGTGAGCAAGTACTGTGTTCGGCCAGTCCAAAATCCAGACGCGTGGATGAACGAACGAGCAACGCCGACAGTACCGGCACCTCCGTGAAAGATCTAGAACAGGCGATGTCGAAACATCTACCGGTGGCTAACCTAAACAAATCTCATTCGCCGACGCTCCATCAGCCGACGGATTTCAGTACAGACGCGTTGTTGAAGCAGCAACAGCAACGGAGTACGATACAATGGATCGGGGCGCATCATCATCTGGGACACCTGAGCCCCCAACAGTCGGCCGCCGCTCCTTTACCAGCGACCGCTCTTCTCCGTCAGTTGTACGCGAACAGGGAGAGCGTGATACGGGCTAACGTTCACGGGATTACCTCGAGCGGTAGCACGCGTACCCCTTCCTCCGGTGGCACTTATTACGCCGGTGACACGACCCCTAGTGGTCCTCTACCCACTCCGCCTGGCTCCGAAGGTTCCAGCACCTACGGTGAACACCAATTCGTGTTAGCCACCCACAATCAAAAAGGTTCCACCGGTACCAGCTGCGCGGACGCGTTCACCAGCCTGGTCTCCTCCTACTCCACTGCCAGCGGTTACACGGTTGACTATCACTCGGCAATGACCCCACCGTCGTCCGTCTCGCCGCGGGACAAGCAGCAACAACAGCAACAGCAACAGCTTCATCCTGTGAACGCGATAAGCAGCTACGAAAGCTCGTCGGCTTACGCCGACCCGGTGCTACGACATCAGTACGAGCCAGCACAACCGTTGCCTTTGAAGCCGCAAGTGTACTCGGCCGCGGTTCACCAGAGCGCGTTGGACGCTGCCGCGGCGTACGCGTCCGCCGGCTTGACCGAACAGGCACAATTTTATCATCACCCAGCCGCCGGAGCTGGTTTCCATATCTACCATCCGACCAATAAATCGACGACGAACGGTTGGTACGGCTCGACGTCCTAGTGGCGTGGTCCCGTACGCGAGAGACGTGTACTTAAGTAATTCGAAGTTTCAGCCCAAAGTCCCCCTTACATGCATATCAGTGATATCGTATTCACCTCGACATCTCTGTATTTCCGATTTCCCATTTCCACTCTCTACTTTCATCCGCCGTCTTATTTTTATTTTTTCTTCTCTTCTTTTTATTTTCCGTTTACTTCATCTTTGTTAAGCCTTTATTTACGCGTTATCCGCTACTTTCACCCCACCTCCCTTTCCCTAGGGTTTCTTCCTTACAATCCATCGTTTCCCTTCTCATTGAAGCCCAACGAGCGCATCCGATGTGCCAACTGAACTGTAAAAATATCGCTGCTCTCTATTCTCGACTATGTAGAACGACTTATTGTAATATAATAAAATAAATTATTATGTATGTTGACAGTTTCGGGGAGGATATTCGCGCAAGCATGGAGAGTAGAATATAAAAGGAAAACGAGGATGAAAGAGACGAGCACAGAGTATGTTTGATGTGACGCTCACGGGGCGCACGTGGAAATGACTAATTATAATTAGTTGATTGTAACCGCGTGATATCAAAATACACGCGAGATATGGAGGAGTGACGGAAACGAACAAAGGATCTTTCAGCGTTACCGCTGTACTCAGGCGTGGTTGTTAGCGATAATTACTCGAGGAAAAAAAAAAAGCCGTACTTGTCGTAATTTTTTATACTGTAACATTTTGTTGCGTAAATACGATGACTTTAGTGAAGTCAACAGTGCAATCGTTACAAGTTCTTAGCGTTAATTTAAGAGGATCGGATAGAGATAAAGTTTACCTTTGCTTACAACGTGAAAAAGACGTTTCTGTACGACAGAGGGGGAGAGAAAGGAGGGAGAGAATGAGAGAATGAGAGAGTATGTAACATTATCGAAGGAAATCGCTATCTCTATTAATGTAGAACATGTTTAAATTGTTAATTTATTTTTCAGCTTATCGATTCAATTTATCGTCCGTTGCTTGAATCATATCGATTATAAAAACTATCTTTCGAATCTCCATTATTCATTTATCGTCAATATTAATACATATCAACCGATAACGATTAATCACTGCCTTACCACATTGAACATTTGCCTCTGTAATAACGTCTAATGAACACTTTCAAATTTAAGCTTCAAAGACTTTTTAGACGTGTAAGCAACGTATCTTTGATAGAATAATGTTATTGAATAATATATTGCTAGAGGTAGCGAATTCTTTCAGAGAGATTATTATGTTTTGTTGTAAATTGATGAATTGTTTTTTGACGAGTACACGTGTAAATACAATTTTATGTGCTGTAATATCCACCTGTTGAATATTTCTATTCATCATTTTTCGGAAATTTCTATGAAATTTATTTTCGTTGAAGGAGCATTGTAAGGCAGTGACTTAAACACTAAAATATATACAATAACATCTCCATCTTGGTAAATGAAAACCTTGTAATTCAGTACAGTTCACCCTGAAACGTTTGTCAGAATGATATCCCATACAAAATTTGCCATATCATAGTTATATTATTTGGAAAAGATACCATTATCTGTAATCACTGAGTTTGTTGTATTATTCAATAATGTAAAATTTATATAGATAAATTTTCAGTTTACATTGAGATTATAAAATACTTTCAAAGTTTTTCATTATTGTTATTATTACATTATTGATCGATTTCGTTTCACCTATTATGGTTTAAGTCTATTTGCTTGGAACAGTATCAAGAAAATTCTAATAATAGAAAGAGAGAAGTACTTAAAATTGGATGACAATTAGCTTTTGCCAAATAGTAATGTATTATGTTTATACAAAACAGAAGTTGCATTGCAGGAATACTCTGCATCTACTGAAAGTACTTATATCAGTCTAAAAATGGACAAATGCAGCGCACGCAGAACTATGCCTTACCAAATTGTTCTTCAAATATATATATATATAAAAGAGAAAAAAAATAAGATCAGGTGTAGGGATTATAAGACTGATGATAAATTTGCTTGTTCTGTTTTATTGTTCAAGCAAATGATAGCATTAATGTTATGCTACATTTTTATCAATAACAATGTATTATAATAGCGATGCTCATATGTAAATATATCATATGGACACAAACAGTTCATTACCATACTTACCATAAAAATTAATATTTGCTAAAGCTGAAATTGTTTGCATACACAAATTTTACCTAATTTGGCATGTTTTAATTTTACATCAGCTGCAAAATATTTGGTTCATTATCTGAAAGTAAAATTAATCTGAATAATTTTTCATGTTACTCAACATTATCAAGTAAGATTACAACCAAAGAAGTTCTCAGTCTTCTTTCGTATTTCAATACTTTAACAAATAATTGTTATCTCTTTAATTATAAGATTTAATTTAAGATTCCGGGTTTGAAGTGATTGGTATCTTACAAGTGCTAGGTTATGTGCTACGCACTTGAACAGACGCGCTCATTTCCACATAGTATGATAGCGAGTTCGATGTTCGATGTTCGATGTTCGATATGTGGCCTTGAATAAGTAAAACTCGATAGCCATTGGAGTAGATTATTTGTCATCCTTTACTTCTCGCAGATGCGCGCCTATATAAGAGACAAATTCGAAAGAAGACCGCTAATATAACATTACACGCGAAAGAGACGCAAGACGAGCAATTGGATCTAGTGTGAACATTTACCATCCGAGTGAACTGTCGTGGACACAAACCAAATCATGATTTGGCGAATCACGCTCTTTGTCGCTCTTTTCGTTCTTACGATCGAAGCGAAAAAGTATTCGCAATCGTTCGAAGAGCATCAGTGGCAAGAGTTCGAAGAGTTTTTGAAGTGGAAGAGGACAAGGGAGCAACATGAAAACAAATACGAGAAACGACACGATAAAAGCCATGAAGTGGATCAACTGTACGAGAAGGTTCAGCAGATTCCCCTTAGCAATCCACCACCAGTCGATGAAGCTGCTCTAATGGCAAGATACATTGTCAACCAAGCTGGTAAGACAAATGTACTTTTGATAATACATATCTAATTGTAATTGGGGCATTTGAATTCAATTATACCTTCGACTCGAATTGTGTTTAAATATACATAAGAAAAATATTTGCACGTGAATGCGCATTTAACATGCATTTTCTCGAAAGTTATTATTAGATTGGTGTAAAGAATTTTGGCAATTTACCAAATTTTCAGTGGTGAACGCAACGCTTGTAGTATCAAATATTAGAAATTCAAGTGTTTCACCTTGTTATCATCTATCACATCCGTTATATTCAAATTCGATTATTCTGATGTTTCATAATAGAATAGAAGGTTATTCATTTGAATTTGAATTTCAAAAAGTATCAATAAGCTCAAAAAATAGGATAATAAAAATAAATATTATTAATTGATGATCTTTTTTTTGTCTTATATTATTTACGTAAATTGTTATCAACGCTTTGTGTTTCACAGATTGGGTGTCTGTCGCAACAATCAGCACACGAAAGGAAATTGAATCATTTCCTGCCGTAACCTTAGTTTCTTATAGTGACGGAATCTTAGGAAATGGAACTGGTGTTCCATACCTTTACCTTACTCCTTTGGATTTTACAGCTCAGGATCTAGCAGTGAGTAATCGTACGATTCCTTTGTCTCAATCATCCACCTACGCTTTGTGTTTGCAGTTACCATCCGTTGATAAGATAGCAAGCAACACATATTGCAGTCATCCATTATTATTCATCGAAATCAACGAAATTTAGGAATTATCTTCAAATTGTGTTAATAAAATTAATTTAATGATTATTTATTAATTATAGAAAGACAACAGAGTTTCAATGTTGATGTCATTAGCTCAAGGAGATTACTGTAAAAACAAACAATGGGACCCTATGGATCCTCGTTGTGCCAGGGTTCTTATGAGCGGGAGAATCAAAACGGTTAGTAAAGAGTTTATCTATATCAAATTAATTAATAATGTTAACATCTACTTATATTATTAATTTCTTTCTTGTTAATAGCTGAAGAATGAGAGCGCAGAACTTGAACTAGTTAAAAAACTTTTCTTTGATCGTCATCCAAAACTAGTTAATATGCCAGAAAGTAAGTTTATCGGTTAATTAATGTCAACTACTGTCTACGCTGATTCAAAAAAATAATGTATTACATTACAGACCATCATTTCTATTTCGCCAAACTGAAAATAATGTCGATCGCCGTTTTGGATACTTTTGGCGGACCTAAATATGTTCCAGTAAACGAGTACCTACATCCATCAGGTTCTAACATTATCGAGGAATTCAATAGACGGTTCCCTTTAGAAGACTATGAAAAATCTTCGAAAGACTATAACTCAGTTTCTAATATGTTACATCCTATGATTCGCACTATCTAAAACTGTGTGATAATAAATGTAAAACGACTTCCAAACTCTGTATTTCCAAACTTTTTGTAGCATCAAAATTTTTTACATAATTATTTAATTAAGTGATAATTGAAATAATAAATCTAATGAAATTAAACTGAATTTTAATTAAATTATTTAGTTTTTAAATAAATTCAATTTTCAGTAAGAAGCAGCACTGTTGAAAAATAAGAATTTACATTTTTTGTAAAAATTTATTTAAATAATAACAAATCTTGATTACAAAGATGTACGTACAAGTTTTATTAGACTAACACAATATTTTTAATATTTACATATTAATAATGCAATAATTATACTTTGTTATAGTATATTACAAAGAATTTAACTATCTTCTTATATAAAGCGCAAAGTAGTCCGTCCATATTACTTTTCAACTTGAGCTTTATATGTCGTTAGAATTAGATCGGTGCATAGGTAGAGTCACCGGGGTCCCTGACACCCCAAGATCATATTTTGTCAGTGCCTAGAAAGAGTCGCCGGGGTCCGTGAAACCCCAAGATGATACTTTGGCAGTGCACAGAGAGAGTCACCGGGGTTCCTGAAACCCCAAGATGATATTTTGTGATGTCTAGAAAGAGTCGCCGGGGTTCCTGAAACCCCCAGATGATATTTGTGGTTTCTAGAAAGAGTCGCCGGGGTTCCTGACACCCCAAGATGATATTTTGTCGGTACCTAGAAAGAGTCGCCGGGGTTCCTGACACCCCAAGATGATATTTTGTCGGTACCTAGAAAGAGTCGCCGGGGTCTCTGACACCCCAAGATGATATTTTGGCGGTGCACAGAGAGAGTCGCCGGGGTTCCTGACACCCCAAGATGATATTTTGTCGGTACCTAGAAAGAGTCGCCGGGGTCTCTGACACCCCAAGATGATATTTTGGCGGTGCACAGAGAGAGTCACCGGGGTCCTCGACACCCCAAGATCATATTTTGTCGGTACCTAGAAAGAGTCACCGGGGTCCCTGAAACCCCAAGATGATATTTTGGCAGTGCACAGAGAGAGTCACCGGGGTCCTCGACACCCCAAGATCATATTTTGTCGGTACCTAGAAAGAGTCGCCGGGGTCTCTGAAACCCCAAGATGATATTTTGGCAGTGCACAGAGAGAGTCAGCGGGGTCCTCGACACCCCAAGATCATATTTTGTCGGTACCTAGAAAGAGTCGCCGGGGTCCCTGAGATCCCAAGATGAAATTACGTCGGTATGTAGAGAGCGCAACCAATGCATCGGGGTTCCTGGCACCCCATCCATCGGCCATTGCGCCATCTATACAAAAGCGGCGCAAACTATTCGTTAACTTACCGACTGCCGAAGGGTCGATTACCGACTGTCGGCAGATCAGTCGATAAGTCGATAATTCGTTGAGTACTAGTTGTATATTTTTCAAACAAGGGATGACATAAATTCTCGCTCGAACTACTTGATGTGAAGTTTCAAGGCCTTTATGTATATTTTACATAATTTATTTTAACGTATAAAACATTTGTTATATATTAATATTTATTTTAAGAACAAGCGTCTAAAAACAATGAATAATTTGATAACAGTTTAAAAATAATATTAACATACAGCATCTAATTATGAAAACTTTCTTTTGGCTATGTTTTCTTTACAGTAGTTTGTGTACTTTTTCCATGTACAAGGCTAGATGAACTCAACATAACAGAAATTTGTTCTGGTAATGGACATGCAATTAATTGAAGCTCCTCTGAATTATAATATTTACTCAATAACTGATATAACTGTGTAAATGCAGCGCACACGTTATTTTTTACTGGTCTAAACAGAATAAACTCAGTTTCCTTATTAGAAAGATATAACTGCATCAGTTGTTGGATTTCCGGACATTTGAACTTAATTATCCGTAATACTTCGCTAATTGCTGCGGCAACATCTTGCGCACTTCCAAGAGCATGCTCCTGAGATATATTTTGATTACTGGCATTAACATACGATTTCTCCTTTTCTTGCAACTTTAAAATTGGATGTATCAATGAAAACGTTGCATGCTGTATTAAACGTTGGCAAGCATACTTTAATTTATTATCAACATGCTTCCTTGAATCTATCAGTTGTTCCTTCATTTGTGGTGTACCTTCCAATAAAAATTCTAACAATGAATTGTTTGATAAAGTGAAAAATCTTGAACTTTTTTCTAATAAACCAAATGCTGCTGTCTTAACTTTAGAAAAGTCCAAACTATATTCCTTGATGGTAAAATCAACTTGAAATGGCGCAATTTGTTCACGTAATATTAACAAATGCTTTATTTGAAAAAGTTCTGCATCTAAAAGTGATGCTCTTTTTTCAATTTCTTGTCTTGCATTCTCTATGCTTTGAACACAAAGAGATATTGCTTCTTGACTTAAAGATTGAAAAACAGACCTGTCTACGCAGCGATACAATCTTGATAAACAAACTAATGTTCTACGTACAGTAGGATACCACATTCCATGAAGATCTGCTGGTGAATTACCCATATGTGTTTTCTGATAGATAGAATCTATTTCAATATGATTTCTAGAAACAGACTCTGCAATATTATCACTATTAGATGATATAGATATCTTTTTCATTCTTGTTTGTCTAGATTCTTCCCTCAGGGATTCTGCAATATCTTCCATCATTTTTAATTTTTCTGGATATGCTAAATCACCCGGCGATGGACTATAGTTTAAAACATCAGATTGTAAATAGAGATGTGCACGAAACACAAGTCTTTCTTGTACATCATGTAGTAATTGTAAACAAATATTTCCAAATCCTTCTAAAGGTTCAAGATTATTTTGTACATGTTCATCCAACATTTCAATTCTCAAGATGCAACAAATTTCTGCTAAAGTTTCCAAATGATTAATATGAATAATAAATGGCCTTAATGTATCATATAAGGAAGTACATAAACTCTCAAGATACGTAGTTAAACCATTGGATGGCTTTGAAAAGAATTCATAAAATAATTTATATTCATCCATTGATGCGTGTAGTAATAATGCACACGAATTTCTTACTAAACTACAGTGATCACCGTTGTACTTTTCCTTTACAGACATCAGAGATTTTTGCACACTACTGCCCAATACTAATCCTCTCTGACTCCAATAATATTGATGGCACTCGGATAATAGACTATCATATTCTTGTCGTTTGTATGATTTCATTTCAATCTGTTCTATAACAGATTTAACTTTTGATAAAATAGTTTGAAATCTTCCATAAAAAAGTGCCAAGGCTGCATCCGCATTATCTTGGGAACCATCATTATCTTTTAAATTCAAAATACTTTCTGTAGTTTTACTAAATAAATTAAAAATATAATTTTGCATCATAGATATTGCCTTTGACTGACAATGTTTATATTTCATTAAATAAGTATTACTTTCTTTAAACGAAGGATTATTCTGCAAGAAATCAATATTTTTATCAATTTTATCTAATATATTAAAAAACATTTCACTATTTACACATAACGTGGGTGCCTCCAATTTTTCCATCATCATATCAACATCTTTGAAATATTTTACATATTCTGTGATGTTCTCTATAATGGAATTTAATCTTCTTTGATCAGAATCGAGCTGTTCACTAGCATCATACAAAGATGTAGTTTTTTCTGAAACCTCAGAATACTGTTTATACAACATTGTAAAATCTTCTAATGCTTCTTCTATTTGGAGGCAGAGTTCATGACACTCTAATCTCCGAGCTTCAAGTTCCTTAAGATACAATATATATTTCATATCCTTTCTATCCATACATTTTTTTTCTAAGCTGGCATAATATTCTAACAGATCTTGATACTGTTCTATTTGTGCCGGTTTCTTTTCTTCATATAACTCTATTTTCGCCTCATTAATAGAAGATAATTCGTCTTCTAAGTTTAATAAACATTCTCTTTGAAGATCGGTTAACGGTGCCAACGAATCTTCTGACAGATCCCATTTGGTTAAGTTGTTTGGAATGTCTTTTAAGTTGGACATAGTTCCTTGTCAGTAAAAATAAATATTATGAAATGGGCGTTTCTATGATAAGTTACAGGATTACGTGTATTACAAACATACCGTTTTATAACATAAATCAAAAACCCACTTCAAAACACTGGAATTTGACATCGTAGCAGCAGTGACTACAGATACACAGAAGACTAAATATGCCTTCATTTTTGAGATGTAATGATTTTGGGGATTGCAGACACCCCCAGGTAATGTTAGATCTATACCCACAGCAAAATGAAGCGAGTCGGTTCGTTAATTAACCAGTAAAATAAATAATGAACTCGATTTGAAAAGCGGTGGTCAAAATAATTAACTAAGCCTTCTTGCTTCCGATATAAGAAGCGAATGGCGTCGGGAGTGAGCGCTCCAGATTCTTTTATTTATTATTTTATCCCTCTTCATGGGCATTGGCTTACGCTTCACGGTTATTAATTATTTTTTTGCCTGTGTGTGACACACAGAGCCCAATCCTATGTCCTTTATATCCCTGCATCCCTTACATCCCAGCATCCATTACATCTCTCCATTCCCTACATTCCTGCTTTCTCTATTACCCAGTATCCTTCACGTCTCTGAATCCCTTACATCGCTGTACTAGAGAGCATAAAAACGAGCAAAGTTTAGTTCCTTTTTTCTCCACCAGAGGGCGCTGATTCGACCTCGGAAATTTAGTTCGCATTTTTGCCGCCAGAGGGCCGAAATTTATGCAAGGTCTAGTTCCTTTTTCCTCCACCAGAGGGCGCTGACTCGGCATCGAAGATTTAGTTCGCATTTTTGCCGCCAGAGGGCCAAAATTCTTGCAATGTCTAGTTCCTTTTTCCTCCACCAGAGGGCGCTGACTCGACATCGAAGATTTAGTTCGCATTTTTGCCGCCAGAGGGCCAAAATTCTTGCAAGGTCTAGTTCCTTTTTCCTCCACCAGAGGGCGCTGACTCGACATCGAAGATTTAGTTCGCATTTTTGCCGCCAGAGGGCCAAAATTCTTGCAAGGTTTAGTTCCTTTTTCCTCCGCCAGAGGGCGCTGACTCGACATCGAAGATTTAGTTCGCATTTTTGCCGTCAGGGGGCCAAAATTCTTGCAAGGTTTAGTTCCTTTTTCCTCCGCCAGAGGGCGCTGACTCGACATCGAAGATTTAGTTCGCATTTTTGCCGTCAGGGGGCCAAAATTCTTGCAAGGTTTAGTTCCTTTTTTCTCCACCAGAGGGCGCTGACTCGACATCGAAGATTTAGTTCGCATTTTTGCCGCCAGAGGGCCAAAATTCTTGCAATGTTTAGTTCCTTTTTCCTCCACCAGAGGGCGCTGACTCGACATCGAAGATTTAGTTCGCATTTTTGCCGCCAGAGGGCCAAACTTTTGTACAAATTTAGTTACTTTTTTACAGCTATAGGACGCAATGGTGGAATATAAGGGTTGCTGGGATGTAAGGGTGGTAGGAATGTAAAGGATGCAAGGATGCAATGAATTCAGTGATGCAAGGGATACAGAGATGTAAAAGATGCAGGAATGTAAGGGATGCAGAGATGTAAAGGATGTAGATGTATAAGGGTTGCAGGGATGTAAAGCATAAAGGGATTAAAGGGATGCCGGAATATGAGGAGACCAAAGATGTAAAGGATGTCGACACGTAAGGGATGGAGGGACATAAAGGATATAGGGTTGAGACCCGTAAGGCCCTCAAAGACAATAAGGTAATAAATAACTGGGAAGGGTGAGCCGAGGCCCATGGAAAGCGATAAAATAGTAAATGACTTGGGACGATGTCTCCCGCGAAGCTCGCAAATAGGTGTAAAATAATAGGCCAGGGACACAGGAGTAATAAAATAAACACGTTCATCGGATCCTCTTAACGAGTTTATTCAATAAGAAGACAAGTACAGCAAATGAAATGAACGCAGAAAATAAAATGGGGGTATATGTATGTTTAACAGGTAGATCTGCACACCTTGGCGGTCGCTATAAGACTGTGGGGGGTTTCACTTTGCTCTACAACGGTATTGACAGCGGTGCCCGATCAGCAGGAGGGGTGCGGGATCTTATGTATGTACAGGGTGATTCTCTCGCTAGTATTCTCAAAAGAAATGCCGCCACACCACTATGAATGGACCCAAGCCCTTTTCTATCACCGGGTAAATACTGCAGTTGTGCACGTCATGGACAATGCTGGGTCGTGGTATCGTACCCAGTGCCTTCCACTCCGCTGGCTTACACCGCCATTTTCCCTAGAGAGATGCCGAGCGTTGATGGTGTGCAAATATGTTGCCAATGAGAAATATCATCACCATAAATGCTTGGAGTAATATAAATACAAATATTGAATTCTAGAAATCGACAGATATTTAATAACAATATTACACAATTAAAATTTTTAGTTGTACAATATTATTCACTTTTTAATGTATATTGAAAAAGTAGAAGAAAAATTTTTTCATTAATTAATAAATTTGTATTGTATTTAGGCCACTTTCGTGATCCTTGATAGTCGTAATTTATAAAAATCGTTACAAATGGTTTGTTGATATTGCTTGTTAACTGTTTATAAACTAAATGGTATACAAATTTAATATTAGGAAAATAAAAATAATACGCTTTATCTTTATGAATACTGAACTTTGAACAATTTTAAACAATGTTGCGAAATTTATTTTTTTGTATATATATTTAAAATGTTTCTACATTTTTTATACTATATTTATTATGTTCAAAATATCAATACTTGTTTAAAAAGTGCTTCTGTCACTCAAATATAGAAAAACTGCAATATAAAATATTTATTGGATAACAGTAAAAAATTGTTTTTGTATTTATATTCTTTTTATGTATTCGGATGTAAAATAAGAACCTTCTTGATGAATAAGGATAGCCAAACTTAATCTTACTGCTATGAATAGTATGCATATATATTACAGTATTTAAACTCTTTTAAATTTATTGTAAATCTAAAGGTACTTTTTAAAATTCACTTCTTTTTAAAGAAGTTAGTAATACTTTTGGATCCAGCTGCAGCTTTCTGTCTAGCTAATTCCTTTTTACCAACAGTGGTTTTCTGTGACTGTAGAAAACATACAAAAATACATGCATTTTAACTTTATGTGTATATAGACGTAGTGAAGTATATAAAACACATTACCTTCTCTAATTTAGTTGAGTCAGATATTTTTGGTTTTAATATTGACTCATTTTCAGTGGTATCTTTTTTGGATCTCTTTTCATCAACATTTTCTTTAGGACTATTTAATTTTCTTTTTTTATTTTCTATTTCATCTGATAAGTTTAAATGTTGTGCCAGTTTGTTTGATAAATCTTCTGCGAGATATTCTGATACAATACCATGTGCATATTTTAAATAATCTAAATAAAGAAATGAATAATGATATATATATCGTTTACTATAGTTACAATACATTAACACATTTGCTGCGGACATTACGAATTCGCTTCGATTATGATCTTGACAAGATGCGTGCGATAATAATATTATTAATATTCATAATATCATTTATATATTGTAATAATATCAACCGAGTTCCGATCACAGTAACGAGAATTTGCGGTGTCCGTTGAAAATGTAATAAAACATTTTTTATGTATGATTAGTTAGATAGAGTATTAAAAGAATAATTAATTTCAAATTTTGAAATACATGATATTCATTTCTTACCAATTTCTGAGACATTCTCAAACTTAGTACTTCTAACATAAGTGGCACTAGTAGCACCCTGTGATACATGAACACCCTTTTGTTTTAAAACTTCTGCTACTCTTTCTACTTTCTTTTGCAACCAAATTAATGTTTTTTCTTCATTAAATTTGTAAGCTTGCATTGACTCGTCTCCTTTGCGGTCAGCAATTAACGTCAGGTTTAAATTCTGACATTGAATAAGACGGGATGTCTCTGGAAAATCTTCATCCCAAAGACATTGTTCTATTGGCTGTGCTTGTTGTGACTACGAGTGTAATATTTATGTTTACTAATATTTCAAATTATGATACCCTTATGATGGAGTCAATTAAACCCCTATATTACATTAGAATCAATTAACATGTGTAATAATAATAAGATCAATGTGATACAAAATTACCTGTCTTAAATAAGGTAATATTAAAAACATTGGATCAATAGGAGTAGACAAATGCAGTTTCCCATCAGATTTTACATTATCATCTATAAACCATGATCTTTTATTTTCATCAAATGTTAAGACTTCTTGTACTGTTAAATTGCCTGGACTGAAGACAAACATTGTAGGTTGATTTAAAGCTGGATGTCTTAACTTAACTACATCAGGTGTACCACCATCTGTACTATCTAAACTATCACCTGAAATATAAAAATATTAATTCATATTTAAAGTATTCTTAGTAGAAAGTGTTAGAATTGAATGTAACTAATAATAATAAAATATTCAAATTTGTAAAAAGAGTTCATAGGAAACAATGATGCCATTTACTTATTATACAAATCCATATAATAATAATAATAATAATGATTTTTGTTCGTTCACCTTTCATAAGGAAAACCCATGTATTTGTTCCTGGATGTGAATTAGTTGTTTTAACACATTTTTTAGGTGATGCTTTGGTGCGTGGCATATTTACCCGCGTTTCACACAAACTGATATTATGTTAGGTTATTTATTCTTCTCGTACAATTTTCACCTTATATTAATACAGATATATAGTTCAAATTTAGTGATCAGCCATTTTTGGTAAAAGGACCAAATCTTAATCTCTTGTTGTGTGTCGGTCGTAATGTATTGCACTGTATATATTTTTCATTAACTAAACGCGTTAAAAGCGACATACCGCCAATGTTACGGAAAACAATATTTGAAATCTCGATATATAGTCGAACATCAGTGAATGGTCGATGATCGGAGAATTACCAGAGAAGAGATGTTACCGCGCTAACGAGCCATCTTTTAAAAAAGAAAGGTGCATCAAATATACTCTAGCGTAAAACATTTAAACTACAATGCACATATTTCTTTCATATAAATCAAACAGTTTATAAACGATATGAAATATGTATTCACTGTATAGGGTGTAACAGTCATGTTACGTAGATATACGGGGTGTCAAGGAAATAGGTGTTCAACCTTTAACAGTATTCTACTGTTTCTACGATGCAACAAAAAGATCATATAAATATCCTAAAACTCTTCCTTTCCGAGATATATCTATACTTCGAGCAGCGTCAGTACTTATGTTAGCGCTCCAAGTAGTCCTGCGTACGAACTAATTCACGCTACAGCATGAAATACAGTAGATACAGTAGTTTGGAGCTTGAAACGCAAGTGACCAATGAGTCCTCAGGTCTTAAAAACCTGCCTAGATTCATGGTGGGTATCGAAATTTGATAGTACCAATCTCAGCGTGTAAAACTTTCTATATAAATTTCATGTTTTGTCGTTCATAATTAAATCAATTTAAGAAAACTAATATAATTATGAAATATAACATAATATTGTTGATGGAGTTAAATTGTTATAGTAAATTTTATTATCAGGTATACTATTAATAATATATTTATACAAATACTCCCTTAAGATAATGTAAAAATCTGCCTTGAAGTTTCGTTTACGTTTGCGCATAGAGTAAATTTGTGGTCGTGCAAGAGTCCACATGAGCTTGTTTCCAGTTATTGATCCTGGTACGATTAAACAGCACTGCATTGCTGTCAACTACGAAAACAATTTCGATCACGGAGCATTTGTAAAAACGCGTCGACAAACGGTCACGACAACGTGTGCATCTGTATTCATCCAAAATATTGCGATATCGAAATGTGCTGTGCCTTTTCGACGTCATCATTGTTCTGTCAAAATGTAGAAAAGTTCTTGCAAGACTCGAAATATCGATGAGTGATATTTATCATTAATACGCAAAGATATGTTGTCAATGTTTTCTCGGGGAAGAAGAAACTCGTAGATGAAACTTATTACGAATTCGTGTCGTTGAGAAATTTGTAATTATATTGTTTCATCGAATTCTTCCGAAATTTTGTATTTTGACTTAAAACTTCAGGAAGACTTGAATTTGTGTGTTGTTGCTGCACATGTGATCCTTTAGGTGTTATTGTCGGTCCGTAATGAAGAAGTTTACAATTAAAGGTGTGCTCGACGGGTTCCGGTCATCAGTTCCTCAACCCGTCAAACCTGACCAAGAAATTGTCGAAAATTTACGGCCGGAACACTTTCAAGTAAAAAAGGTCAGTGATAGCTATATAAATAATATAAATATCGATATATGATTATTTTATTTTATTTATAATTTCAAAATAAACTAAAAAAATGTGCATGCGTGCGCGCGCGTGTGTATGTATGCGCGTACGTGTGTTGGGACGTTTTAAATGACAGTTTTAAAACCTACAGTTTTTAATATCTGCAAAGATAGCGCGTATCATATGAATCAGAAATGATAGAATTTCTTTGGAAGTTTATATCTTAATATTATAAATGTCGTGACCCAATTATATATACTGACAGTTACAGTTTATTTTACGGTTTAAGTTTTACAGTTTATGTTCTTATTAAAGTAACGTGTTGGTAAAATAGGTGATATCACAGTCGATTAAAAACACGACGTACGCAGAACATTATAAAAGATTATCATTACTAATATTAATCAATTTTATTATTTTTTAGGTGATAAACGTAATTAAAGTTCAAGAGAACAGAAGTAGAACAGTAAACAATAATTATTAGAGAATAATTAATACTACATGAAAATATAAAGTTTAGTACTTTTTAAACGAAAAAAAGATACAAATTTTTATTTTTAAATCACTTTAAAGTCTTTTTAAATATCGATTTTCAAATGGTACCATTTTCACAATGGTATTTTTATGCAAAATCTTGCAGAACTTTTCTCTAGAATATACTCGTTTGTATAATTAGTTAAATGTGGTTACTAGTTTAATAGGTTCTAATTTATCATCTTACAAATGAGAAAGGAGGTTAGAGCGTAGTGAAAGAACGGAACGATTTGCGTTTGCACAGTACAAACACATGGAAAGTTTATCCAAGTGTACGCAGCGTGTTATCATAGTAACATTTGTAGTTCAGGCGTTGATTTGATATTTAAATATGAACGTTGGTTTTAAAGTTACGAATAATTTTCTAAAAATATTTGTGCACGAGGAAAACTAATAAAAATTATCAGTATTCGTATATTGTACATTACCGACATCTTACGTAAATCCTTTTTTTTTGTAAACAGTATAAAATAAAAATAAATAAAAATAAATCCTACATAAAAAATTATATTTTGGAATTTTTGTCCGTCTAACAATAATGAACATTACAAAACTACGTTTTTATTCTAGGAAATATAAGGTTACCTTGAATTTTTTAAATGCACTTGTGTAATTGTTTTCTTATCATTATATAAAATATTGGGTTGATGCCAGCAAACAAAATATATGCCATTTTTGTTTATGCCATTCTAAGTTTGCAACAGTAAAAGTTATCATTATGGTTTATTTTTTAACAATTTGGATACTGGAAACAGTTGTTACTTTTTAATCCTAACATTTTCTGGTACTTTCTAAATATTCAATGAAGTATTTTAACTAGGTTAACAGTTAAAACAGTTAACAATTTTAAAGTGTCATGTTTGTTGCATTCAGTTCAATATTGTAATGATATATGGGCTTAAGCAATACACTTCTGTTATTTCATATCCATTGATAAGATAAGAAATTGTTTATATGAAAATTGTATAGTAAAAGAAGAAGAATCTTTCTGTGAAAACTAATTTTTTTTATATTATTACATTGATATATATGGAGACCAGGTTCCGGTTTTTAATACAACTATACAGAGTGATTCTTATAAATTGACCAATTAAAACTTCTCTAAAACTAAGAAATGCGAAAAAAAATCGATTAGAGAAGAAATGTTTTGCCCAAGAGGAAAATCTTTTAGTGTGCACGGTCGCGTTGTAGGGTTCCATTAAAAAAAGATGAAGTTGACCTTGAAATGGGACTCTTGACCTACAGTTTTTCCCTGAACCTGAAGTGCGAGACGGAGTCAGTCCGAGACAAGCTTTCAAAGCGAAATGGTACAACCCTAAGACACGCGACAGACGCACATATTTTCACAATTTATATTATACATATATGAATATTATATGTTAAATATATATATATATGTATGCTTCATATACTACTTAACACGTGCAAATTTTAATGCGTTAAAACTTCATTTTATACTATATTGGAATTGTAAATAAAAAATTAAAATTAATACAATAATTATTAAGAGCCGACTAATCTATGTCGGCGGTTGTTTTTGCAAATTTATTTGCTGCTTCATTCAGTATGAGTCTACATTTGATACAGAACAAGACTATATTACCCATACAGTGAGCCACATAAGTATTTGTACGCCCTCAATTGTTATCTTCAAGTAATTGATATTTTGTTAGAGTACAAAGTGGAAAATTTTTATCAAAAGGAGTGTATATCGTATGAATGAAAATTTAATTAAGCTATCTAAAAATTAACGCACTTAGCTGTATGTCTCGTTGAAAGGTAATGCCTTCTTCGGGCCATGGCAGCGCGAAAAGTGAAAGTACGCGGCACGCGCATGCGCAGTAGCGATTGTACAGTGCTGGTATGGGATAAATAGAAGCACAGCGGCAAAATTCAAACGAATTAAAGAAAGGGGGAGAGAGAGAACTATAAAAAATTGCAAAAAAATTAAGGGGACGCTTAATTAAAGAACAAATGACATTCTATGCGTTATTCATTATTTGAATGATTCACATGGTTTCACAAAATAAGATTAAACTGTTACTTATGTACGTCTTATCAGCTCAAAGCTAAAGATATAGACCATTCATTTCATCAGCGTTTTCAATACACAATAGCTGGTTGTCAGTTACACCAAACAATGAATCGGTAGAAAGTCATGTATTGATCTGTTAAGGATTTCTATCAATACTTTTTGTAACAAAGGTTACTGGTACAACGTTGTTACCGAATGAACTTACAGTATGCCCTGATTTTTAACATCTGATTAAAACTGAATTGTATAAATTTGAATTCGACAGTTTTGAAATAGATTCTTTTGTAGTTATTGAATCCTCATAGAATTAAAAATATTGAAATTGTTGCATAATATACACAGTTCAACAATATTACATCGTCTTGTAAGCTAAATATACGCTTCAATACAAAGCAACAATGCTATCTTTTACTTGATAGCTATTGTTCCGTAGTCTCTACGGAGTTGAATAGACTTTTAATCGAGTAAGGAAAGGAAGATGAAATGAAATACATAAATACATTTATGTTTCAGACATTTAGACATGGGTTTCCACATCAACCGACAGCAGTGGCATTCGATCCAGTTCAAAAGCTTCTTGCTATTGGCACTAAATCAGGATCCCTTAGGATGTATCCTTTCATATTCAGAAAATTATATTTCATCTATCAAGTATCGGTAAAGATCAAAAGTTACAAATGAGGGTGTTGAAAATAAGTGAATTTTCGAAAATTCATCTAGACAAAGAAGTTCAATCATAGTATGATTCTACATATCCTAAGGAACTAAAAATGTACCTCAGTGCCTCAGGTGCCTCAGGTTGGGTAGTACAACCGGACAGGGAGCGATTCTATAAGCAAAAATGAGCCAAAAAAAGAATACATTTTTTTTTATTTGAGCTTTCTTTTTCGAGAATCACCCCTTCTCCGGTTGTACTACCGGACCTGAGGCACCCTGTATACTAGAAACCAGAATTACCCAGGTTTACCAGTTATGGTATTTTATTTACATTGCTAAAATTAAGAAGTTTATAAAAAAAGAAACAGCAAGTGGGGTCATTCACCGTTGAACCTTCCTAGGGGTTAAAAAGTAAGGAAGAGTCTTCCGCTATTTGCCTGACTTACTGCTGTTTCCGTGCGAGGACACAATAGCCTTTTGCTGCGGCTACTACCGTACTCTTGTGGGGAATAGAGGCGATGAATACTCGATCTAGCGAATGGAAGATGCTTTTAGTAACTCGCCCTTCAAATTACACACTGAATTAAAGTGAGATTTTTTTAAAGTGAGTGGACAATTTTTCAGGCTTCCAAACTTCCAATTGGAAAAGAAAGAGAGAGAAAATTTTATTATTTTCGTAGGCTATGATAGCGGAAGAGTAGCACTACATATGTATATGCTTGAAAATTTGTGCAAAGATCAAATCACTCATACGAGTCTAATAATAAGAGTCCATTGTATGCAGGGTGTCCCGAAACGAGCATAGGACCTTTGAAGAGGTGTTGGTTAAGGCATCGTTTTTGAATTATTAACGAAAAACATATATTAGAGATTTTTGACCATCAATGATGGAATTTTCTAAATACATAATTTTTGTATTCCTCATTACTGGTATAATAAAGAATAATATAATTTCTGACATTTTCTATTAGTTTTTCGTTCTTCTCAGAAGGAAACTTTTAATGCTTTATTGAAACTCATCACGGTACAGTTGCGTTTAGACGCAACAGTTGAAAGTCGCTTATAGGAAAACGGAAACGGAAATATGATTCTCCATTGAATCGATATAAATGCGTCCGGCGTTTATAGGAAATCCGGCCTTTACTCGGTCGAGTATTAAAATACGGATTCAGAGTATAAACGAATGTTTAGCTTATTCTGTTGACTCAGCCGAATGCTCGTCAGGTGTAAAGTAGAGACTAAAAAGAAGAGCAAGCCAGCCTGGTAGTAGGAGATTCCTTCCTCTTGCGTGTTGTTGAACGGAGCGAATCTGAGCGTGTTCAAAATTGTGCATTGTACAGTTGGTTCATGGCCCGTCAAGCGTATGTTCTTTCACGTGATTGCTTCTATTGATCTATCTGGACTGAAGAGTTACCAGAGAGTGGATGCTCATCACAGCTCGATAAGCTTCCTGGTCGCCATCGAGACAGGCAATTGCTACAAAGTAACAGTTTTCAACTGAACGATGCGTTTTATTGCTCGATAAAATCAGGGATACGCGAGGAATACAAAGATTCAAGAATTGGACCAAGCTCTTGGCAGCGCTGAATTAAGGGCAGGTCTAAGGAGGGTTACACTTCCCATGGGTCTAATTGTAAACTTTCCTATTTTCTATTTAACACGTTCACGGACAGCCACTGCATATGCAACATTTTCGCTTTGTTCTGGTGGGTGCATATGCAGTACATTCTCTCGATAGAAAAATTTCTAAGTGAAATTATCTGTCTAATCTACGTTCATCATCACACAATGTCCACATGTAGATGTATCAAAAGGTTGTTGTCCGATTTCATTTAACAAACATCGAAGTTAAGTTTATGGAGAGTGCTTATATCAACATCCTGTGTGAATTAACACCGTCCGCGAACGTGTTAATTATATTTAGAATAATTTCAATCTTTGAATCAAGTTCACCGAACAAGGTGCTCTCCAAATGTCTTAATCTAAGTAGAACATTGATCAATTCTGAAACTGAACAGAAAATAAACGCTCTTTAATGGCGTTATCCAGGTCTTAGGATTTTAGATGAGCCTTAGGATCTTAGAGGGTGAAGATGCAATGTAATAGTGTCGACGGTTTTTTGATCGTTCAAGCAAAAGTTGGGTAATGTAAAAGGGGTTCAATTGAATGGTTCTTCAAATTTTTTCTATCTGCCAGGTCAGTCCAACATATCTATACAGTTGTATGTATTCTGCTCACGCTTCGACTAACCCTGCACATTTGGACTTGTAAGACCTTGACGTGTCCTGGAATCATTTCAAAGATTCTCATCTGGCCGTTAAATGAGGCCGGGCCGAGCATGGGTAACAAAAAACCGTGCACTTTTTGGGCTAAGAACGTGAGCTATCAGGACAACTGGAGCGTGCGGAGGTACGTAATCGATTTGGCCAGCGGCCTGAAGAGGTCGCCGCGCCGGCCTAAACCTGTATAGGGAATATTCGGCCTTTTGGCCTAATCCGACGCTATTTTAGGACAACTGACAAAAAATTTCAAGCATCACGAATATGCCATTTTTTGGATTTTCTACCCTAATATTTCTTTGAAAAAAACAACGTTGGTTTCATATCTCATTTCATAAGATTATGTTATTTTTGAAACCAAGTAAAATTGTTCCTCTGTATTTTTCGCTATTTAAAAAAAAGTTAGGTATTTGTGTTAATATCCGTTTTAGGTATTTTCTCTTTTTCTCTCAGTTGTACTTTTCCCCTTTGAGAAAGAAAATGTCATTAGATAAAACAGAAATTATACAGTTACCAAGTTCCACTATTAATTCTAATTTTTATAATTAGCCTTGTCCTCGATAATTTGCGTACGAAATCACAATTAGATTATACTGTGGTCGGAAGATTAAAGTAAAGTTCAAAATTAAAATAAATAATGTGTATATAATGAATATATTGTTACAACATAAAAACTCTTATTACTTTCCTTATTGAAGAATTATAAAATAGTCTGGGTCGACCAGGGGTGGACGCCCACGTAAAACACGAGGGATGCACGGCAGTGGTACAATTACAGTTTTTAATCAATGAAGGAGCATTGGTTTCAGCCACTGCGGATGACACTTTACATTTATGGAATTTCCGGCAGAAAATACCGCAGGTTGTGCAGAGTATTAAATTTCAAAGAGAAAGGTCAGTTTTTCATTTCTTACGGTTCATGCTTTTACCTGTATTATTTATAGTGCAATTTTAATTGTTACACTTTTAAATTACAATTTGCTTTTTAATTTTGTTTGCAATCAATTGATAACATAATTTTTATTCGCATTCAATAAAAATACTTAATTTTCTCCTAAATTTTTTTCTTACTCTATTTCCACTTTCCCTGAATGGGGCAAAGTGAAAGAATTGGGAAAATCCTTTAAACAAATATTTTATTAAATTGCAAAAGGTATTATAGTTTTAAAAAAAAATCCAATCCATTTTAGCGTACAAATTATATACACATTGCAATTAAAAATGAATCCTCGATTAAACAAGTGATTCATAGATACATTCCTTCATCTCTAATCAGTATTTAAAATATCTTTTCCTTTCATGTGTATCAGCAACTGTTGTTGTCATTCTGTTAAATGTTCCCCGCTTGGAAAGCATTTTCCTTTAAACGATAATCAAGCATTCGAAATAATCGAACGGTGTATTGTCTTATTTTAAACAGAATAACGTGTATTCATCTACCGCTACAAAGTAAATGGTTGTACGTCGGCACCGAACGAGGAAACATTCATGTACTACATATCGAGACATTCGTCCTTTCTGGATATGTAATTAACTGGAACAAGGCTATCGAAATGTAAGTAAGCAAACGCTTATTGATCCAGCAACTTGTTAATACAATTCATAAACGACAAACAATGCTATTAGATTCGTGCGTAGAGGAAATAGTGTAAGCGATACACATTCAGATTCGAGCCTTTATTTTTAGTTTTGATTCCTCTTTGACACTGTGGAACGAAACATGTATAGTTTTTGTATACAAGGTGCAGAAAAATTCGTAGTACAAGAAACGAGAAAATGGTGATAAGATTTTCAAAGCAATTTGAAAATTTCAAGTATTCATATTTATGAATACTTGGCGGATCCTTCTTATAGCCTTGATTCTTCTTGCAGCATGTTTATACCTACTAACAATGACGACGCGTCTATTCTGATTATTTAATTATTGTGTGTTTGAGAATCGAACGTCAATTTAAAATATATACTTGTTGAAGGATCCAGGGTTAGGTGTAGGACAGGGACGCTCAAGAAATTGCCCGCGTGAAGCTTGAGTGCCCTCGAGCCCGTAACAGTGCCCGCGGGCAAGTAGGAGGGCAGGCGGACGCCCGTGCTCCCTTACTATTTACTGAGCGTCCTTGATCTAGTGACACTCTTCGGCCACCCCACGGAGCCGGAGAATTCCTCTTTCAACGTGTTGAGAAATTGTGTTATAGGGTGCTGGAATGCTCAGTCCAGCATTTTGGTGCAATCGTTCTTCTGTGCGATGCGCAGTTTCTTGCTTCGAGAATTCTCATTTAAAATGATGAAGGAGCGTTCAGACGAGCGAAGACCCTAACTGGCAAGGGCGATAGGCTATTATCTAGAGTTGAGAAAGATAATCTCACTCTTGGCTATTGGCCCATCTCCCATTGCCAATTTCTTTCGTGGATTGCACGTTCCTGGGTTTTTGTCGAGACGGTCAGCGCGAATGGTAACTTTCGGGCATTACAGTGAGCGATGGGGTCGCCCTTCCCTAAGGTTACTATTTTTCCTAGGGAACCCTAGTGTGCTTGGCAGTGTACTCTCACGCCTGACCTGCCAATTTTGTTCTTATCACTTTGTGTGTTAAATTTGATATCTTAACACTTCGATAGCCGTATATTTCGTGGAATTTTCAATTCTATTTATTTAAGCTCCATATTATGTCTAATAAGAGTTTCAGTTTACGCGGCCTACGAAGATATTAATTTTCTAAAATTGTAATTAGTATTTGATAAAAATAAGGTAATGAGTAATGGTGTAAAAAGTTAAACGTTAAAATATTACCCAGTTGGCTGGTTTGACATTTCAACATGTCATTCGTACTGAATGTTGTAAGAAGGAAAACTTAATAAGGAATAAACAATACTGTTATATTTAACATAAAAATTGTTTTTAGTAAAACACGCTTTTAACATAGGTATATAAAATCTTGCACATTTTATAGTTACATTTCTTTTTTTATATTTTTATCGTAAGCTAGTATTATTAAAATTTCTTTTATTAACGACGATTTATTTTATCGAAATGATTACAGTTTGTTAATTTTTAGTTTCACAGTTTTTCAGTTTCTTGTAAATGAAGATGTTGGCGTTTCTGAGATTATTTTCCTCTTGTAAGTTTGCTTAAAAATAAACATGCAGCCTTCTTAAAACGAATGTGTTAATATAATGAAATTATCAGTTGCTTTGGTTCTTCTGCTTTCTGTTTCAAGATGTTATCTCACGATATTGTAGGGTAACATTTATGGTAAATGTTATTGCATTATGCACATAAGCACAGCTTTTATCGTATTTAGTGCATCCATCTTTATTTTTTTTTTTCGTTTGATTTATTTTTGATTTTGTTATTGTTTTCAGAAGTTGAAGAGTATTTAGAAATGAAACAAAATCTAGCAAAATTTTTTAATGAATGTAAACTATTTAAAAGAGAAATATACAAATGTTTTCCAATGAAGAGAAATCTTACCTAAAATCTAATTACGTATATTACATGATAAAGAAACGTACATAAACACAATGATACACATTATTCAGCAACACTACACGTACATAGACGCACATATATTATATATGTATATATATTTTTCAGATCTAGAAAGACCCATCCTGGTGCTGTAGTACACTTGAGTGATAATCCTTTAGATTTGAGCAAGGTACGCGTGTTTTTGAGTACGTTTTATTTTGCATTATTATCCATCCTTACCATAACGTGACATTCCTTTATTTACTTTTTTTTTATTCCTATCAAGCTGTGAAGTAAAATCCAGATAGGATAATATCTTCAAGGTTCATTATAACACCTTTTATTCTTCCTTTTTTGTCTCTCTCTTTCTCTCTTTCTCTCTCTCTTTTTTTTTAATATAACTTTTTTCTTAACGTGTTGATCGTAACAGAACTCAAAAGTGTGTGCTTGCATGTTGTGTGTGTGCATGCGTGCATGCTACTAATTGTTGTACAGAAAACTTCGTAACGAAGTTATTTCTAACCGAATTTCATCGTTATATTTCTTACTAATACATCTACTATTAGATGGAAAAGTAATGGGATTACCATTTCATTTTTTTCTTATTAACTTAACCAAATCAATAATTTTATAATAACTTTCATAATCTTTTACTAATTGAGTAGTTAGAATTTGAATGCTGGAAGTGGAGAATAAAACAGACGCGTTGTATGTGACTTTTTTTTATAATAGAGATATTACTTTGAGATACCAGGGTAGCCATTGTATGTAGTCTGTGCCCTTTGTGGGAAGTTCAAGTTAATACGAGGTAAGGGACAGTAGTTGGGGTCGTTGCCTCTTTTTCTAATGTGATTTGGGGTAGTGACGGACTGGTCGGGGCAGGTTGTCAGAGGCAGGAGCAATAGGGATGTAATATGCGTGTGAAAAGTACTTTTTTTAGAATAGAAATATAGCTGTACATTCTAAGGCAAATATATCTTGGTACATATACTATTATCTATTGAAAATATTAATTGTTAATATAAAGCTCTTTTTCATTCTTTTATGTATAATTGATTTCACCTGTAAAAACTTGTGTATTGTGATATTCTAATAAAATTATACATATCTTTTTTGTTATTTAACATTCATTTTGTCGTTTTCTTTTCAAAATCCCATTACTTTTGTATCGATATGACAAGTATAATGGTGTTAGAGTACGTAAGTCATCAATTTTATCATGGGCTTATTAAGAATTTTGTCTCGTAATTACGATCACTCAATTTTTTATACTTTATACACAAGTACATCATTGATATACGCATACGCACGCATGTGTACGAATAAAAGATGTTTCTAAGGGTATTCAATAGTCAGGAAGTTTCATTCTTTTCTGTGTTTACTGCCACGTTTATAAACATCCTAATTTGTTAATTGTATCAGATGTGGGCAATCTATAGCTTGCGATCCGTAGCCAGTCTCAGTTGCCCTTGGGCAGAGCTTTGGGCAAAGTTTTGAGCAGAGCTCAAGGGCAATGATGTTAGAAGCCAATGAAAAGAATAGGAGTATTGCACACCTGCTTTCCTACCCCCTCTGCGTTAATTTCTTTTTTAATGTCTAATATTTGTTACATTTTGTCACCTTCCCTTATCATGTAACTTTAACCCTGAGACTTGGATTAATAGACGATTGATTGGGGCAAAGCTTGCTCTAGGGATAATTTTGATATTGATAATTTTTAAATTTTCGTTTTTATTTATATTATTATTTGAAGATTACAGGTTTTTTTAAGCAATTTTTAAGGTAAGGCATTTATACGAAATTATATTAGATATTAACTTTTCATTCGAGTTAAGGCAATGAATAAAAAATTAAATTATATTTTAAAATAAAATGTAGCATAATCTTTATCTTATAGTAAAAACAAATTTTAGTTACTTGGAAAAATGCATATGATAATAATTATTGTATATGCAATTTATTATGTGTGTATAAAGTACAGTACCCAGAAGCTTGATCTTTTTTCACATGAAAGTAATTGTATTTAATTATGGTTCCTTTTCATATAACATCTACATACGCATGTCCACAGACATGCACGCTTATTTTTTCTAATTCTTTATATTATACACTTTTTAAAAAATGTTTCCTTCTACAAATGTTTCTTTTACAGAAAGTCCTATTCTTCTTTCCATCAATTAATCTTATTAGTTCATACGTACATATTTATGGTTTTTAGCTGATATTAGGTTGTTCATTGATAAGTATAAATGTTTTTTCTATGTGTAACAATAAAGCAGTAGCTCGATAATAGTGAAAAACCGATAAGTATTCTAACAAACCGAAGATCATTCATAAACATTAACATGTTTATTATGCATATTCATAACAGATACAAGCACGTTATTGAATTTTTCTAAGGATTCATAGTTTAGTCAGAACATCATTAACCCGCCTATGCTGCGAATTCAAGATTTCACACAATTCCAAAACACAATTTCCAACGAAACTGCCACATCGTTCTACATTTTAAGATAATGTAAAATTATTGCGAACCATTCTGCACTATGTTCTTTCATATTTGTTCTTGTGTGTATGTAACTTGTATTTCTTTGTTTATGCGATAAAATGTATCAGTGTATTATGAAATTACATATTATTACAAAAAAGTTATAATTAAAAGGAATATATATATATATGTATATATTATACCCTTTATATACATATACAGTAAGGGACGGTTTAGTGGTCAGAGATTTTACGCGAGAAATCATCCTCTCCCCAGTCCCTGGAACTGGGACTTTGGAGCCTCGAGCTCACAGGTGGTTAGGGGTGGACTGGAATTTAAATTTTTACATAACCGGCTCTAATTTCAACCCTTAGACCCTGGTCACATAAAAGACTAAGCCTGGGTTCGTTTGGACCCAAACACTTCCGCCCGGGGGTTAATTAATTAGGTTCCGAATCCCTACCGATCCACTGGCAATTTTCCCCAACTCCCAAAGTCCAGTTCACCCTTGCTCGATAATGACATTATTGTTAATGATCGCCAAAATAAGAATCTTTATAATTATAAAATTAATAAGTATGTACTCTCGACATTCAGTTGCCTGTATATTAATCAGGATCAGACCCAAAGTCTGCAGCCACTAACCGGACATTACTGTATATCATAGCTTACCCCTTAGACTTAGCTTTATTTTTGAAATAAATATTTCACTATTTAAGTCGGTTCGTCGCTTATACTCTTTAATTTTCTTTTCAGATCCTCATAGGATATGAATCAGGGCAGATAGTTTGTTGGGATTTAAAGACTAAGAATGCGGATTATAGATGTCAAAGTGACGTATCATTGAGATCAATATCGTGGCATCACGAGGGTAAACAGTTCATTAGCAGTCACACTGATGGTTCTCTGTCAACATGGTCGGTGCGTCAAGTAAAACCAACAAATGTAACGCATCCTCACGGTGAGTAAGATTATCCTCCTTTTACACTAATTTATCTATTACCTTGAAAATCTAACTGAAGGAAACAAAATCTAAACACACGTGTAACATCCTTAACGCTAGAACTACTAAACCAGTCAAAATGACTTGCTTCAAGTTTCGTATTTTAATTTATAAATTATATCGAGGTATTTTTATTGAAATCTATGCTGGTTATTATCGAGATAAAGAATGGATGTATATGTTACCGGCAATGTATGAAAATGCTGATATAAACAATATTAATTTTCCCTTAAATTAAAATTTTTAATTAAAGACCTTTTAGGATTTTTCCTTATTTTAATAATTTTTAGAATAATTTAGAATAATTTTTAATCATTTGAATCCAAAAAGTAGAAGTTCCATCTTAAGTAGATGGATATTTTTTATTACACCTTTGTTTGTATAAATTTAGAAGAAAAGTTATTTGCATGTTTATTTTAGCAAAAATAACTAAGGATGGCGAACCGGAACCTTGCAAACCGATTCACAAGGTTGAATGGAAGGTCTCTAGATCGGGGTGAGATACGTTTCCTTTTTGTTCTGAATTAATTAAATTACTCGTTGACATATTATTATTTATCAATTCAGGGAAGCGTACATTATATTTTCTGGTGGCTTAGCATGTGACACAACTGGTCGAACTCCAAGTATAACAGTGATACATGGAAAGACCACGACTGTATTAGAAATGGAGCATAATGTGATAGACTTTATAACACTGTGTGAAAGTCCTTGGTCAAGTGGTAAATAAAAACGTTATTAATTATTTTTAAACTAGAAGCTTTAGTAATTTTAGTATCTGTACAAAATCAGTATACTGTCAACCTATTAACACCTTATCGTTGAATAATTGCATACTCCTGGCGATGGTTGTTTTAGTCTATTAACTTACAATAAAGGACTAGCAACCGTTCTCTTAATAGAATGCCATTAAAGTTTTCCCATTAGTTAACACATTAGATTGTGAGAGCAAAGCGTAGGTAGGCATCTGCGTTACAAGCCAGTTGTCGAATTGCAATCAAGAGCGTCGTTACAGGGGTATTTTCGTGTGAAAGCCATCCGTTAATAACGACCGGCTATTTATGTTGTATGACCTCCAACTATAAAGAAGGAAAGAAACAAAGAAAAAGAAAAAAAAAAGAAAAATAGATGAAGAGAAAGAAAGAAATGAAGCGAGGAAAAGAAAGACAGATAGCAAAGAAAAATGAAGGGAAAAAAAAGAGTTGCTTGTAATGAAAATGAGGCAACCCATTTTTATAAAGAACTACATTTCACATTGTTTTGGCTCGTATCAAACATGAAACATTTTTTATCCTTAAGTATCTCATTAATGAAGGAAATGGATTTGTCCCACTTTTGCAATGAACGGCGTGAATAGGATACCTAATGGTGTATTTGAGATATCTACAACAGATGCTACTACAAATAAAATGAATTCAAGAGCTAATGGAAATATAATATTATTTTAAAAAAATATAGTTGCTTTCGTTTTTTATAAATTTTCACATCTCTATATCGATAAGGTGTTAAGCTTTACCCTTCAGATACTAAAATTCAAATAACTTTAGCTATACATATTCTATCTGATCTAGTTAGTAACATTAACTCTGCATTATCTATTTGCACAGATTATCAGGATCCATACGCTGTCGTGGTTCTCGTACAAAACGATTTGGTTGTGATAGATTTATTAACTCCTGGTTTCCCGTGTTTCGAAAATCCATATCCAATGGATATACACGAGTCACCAGTGACATGCTGTGCATACTTTGCGGACTGCCCTTCGGATTTAGTACCTGCCTTTTATTCAGTCGGTTCGAAATCTCAGAAAAAGACAGGATTTAGCGAAAGGGACTGGCCAATATCGGGTGGAGAATGGAGTTCTAACTCGAGTAGTTACAATGAAATTATTTTAACTGGGTAAGTTTTTACCCTATTGTCAATTTTCTGAAGATTAATATTCAGATTTTTACGAATATAATATCCGTGTTATTACACATGTTTTATAATATGATTTCAGACACGCCGATGGCAGTATAAAATTTTGGGACGCATCTACGGGAACTTTGCAAGTTCTGTATAAATTAAAAACGGCGAAACTTTTTGAAAAAGGTAGAACACGAAGTATAGATTCGGAAGAAGATCCTTTAGCGATACAACTCATCTTTCTTTGCCCTGAAAGTCGGAAACTGGCAATCGCGGGAGGCGGAAGACACGTTGTACTATTCAAATTCAAGAAAGTTGAAAGTATGTCTGAAGTAGTGGTAAGTAATCAATTATTTTTTTTTAACAGTTACTTTTAATTTTATATAAAGAACACTAAGCATTAATGAACCGCAGAATTCCTTAAAATGTTTATCCTAAATTGTACGAGTTACTTAACTCTTAACGCTTTGAATTATTTTTTTTGATTTGCGAAGAAATGGAAAATAAGCTTGCTTTGGAAGGAACTTACTGTAATCCAACGATTAATTTGTATCTTTCATAGACTTTGGACGTATCGCTGACAGCAGATTCAGTGAAAGAAGTGGAGAGCTCTTCGGACCACGATTCACCAGCTGGAAATCCACCTGGAAATAACGAACCAAAACCTAATGAGTTAAATCACACGCTTAAAGTTAAAACCGGTTTACAGAAGAGGGCTGCAGGTTTTCAAGCAACGTTGATTTGTTTAACAACTGGCGGTAGTGGGGAACAACCTGAGAACATAACAGCTCTGAGCTTGAATTCTTCCTATGGTTTGTAAGTACAGAAAAGTTATCGAATTTTGAAGTTCAATGATTTTGTTCAAATATACTATTACGACGTAAAGTGAATTAAAACTGGGACCTTCTACCTTCTGTCATCTTTGGCTGATGTTATCTAAGTCAGAGCCCTGGAGGTAATGTTTCCTTTTAAATGAAAAAACTATCTAATTTCTTGGGCACTGATCAAAGAAATTAAAAGGCAGAAGATTTAAACTTTAGCCTATTTTTTATCACAACAATGTTGGATAAATTTGAATAAAGTTATGGTTTTAAATGTTGAAAAATCTAATTTTTAATAATCTCCTTGTGAAACACCAGCTTTTATAGGAGTATTTTCATTCCATGTCTTAAAAACAGATGATAACTGTTTAATTTTTGTAATTTCAGAATGGCTTATGGGAACGAGTCTGGTCTAGTTATAATAGATATCGTGCAGAAGATTTCCTTGATCGTGTTGAACACTGCGGACATCGGTGGCAATACGGACCCGTGCCAACGCGTACTGCGCAGTCCTAAACGACAGGACGAGTTAAAGCGAGAATACGAGGATAAAGCGAGGAGTCCTAGTACAGACCAGGTAAAATGTATTTCTTTTTCAGTCCAAATCGTTTGCAATATTCAAATTGTTATCCTTCTTGTTCCCCTTTAACCTTGGTCCGAACAAATATCTTAACAATTTTGTACAGGATGGCTCAAAAAAAAAATGTACACCATGAAAATTGCAAAAGAAACTGAAACATTCCGTGCTATTTTATAATCTAGGCCTTCGTTTTCGTGATACCAGCGTTAATAAATGTTGCCCATAGATTTATAGGATGTGTCTTGTTATTCTCTGTGAATGTAGCCATTTTAAGATTATGTGATCAGTTGATCATTCTAAGATTCAAATATAGAATCTTGCAAATAGAACAGCCAATGTTTAATTACTTGTATCTTGGAAGCAAAGCCGCAGATTGTAAAATAGTAAAGACTTTTCGTTTTCTGTTGATACAAAGAATTTTGTTCACCAATGTTTATAGTGTACATTCATTTTTGAGACAGCCACTGTTTTTTGCATTTCGCTTTTTTTTATACACTGAAATTAATGGTTTCCATTCTTGCATGTTTGTAAAGAAGATTACATAATTTGAATGACTGATTTATAACTATGAATCTTTTGTTTCTTTTGTAAATATTGAATAATCCAATTTTCAATGATCTCATTGTAACACTCCAGCTTTGATGGGAGTATCAAGAGTAGGTGTTTTATTACATAGTCGTGGGCCGTGTAATAATAGTGTTCCAGTAACATTATTTAATTTTCCTTAGGACTACGTGCAAATAAAGACCTTACCTACTATCATAAATTATTTGATTTTTCTGAAATACTAACGCATTGAATTATTTAACAAAAATCGTTACTTTCATTTTCATCTTATATTATCTTACACGTTTCACAAGCTAAAAATAACAAATATTAAACAGCCACGAATAAAAGTGATAACTAACTTTACATTAAACAATTAATAACTCAAATTAATCATTGGCCTAATTAAACAAAGCATAGACGACTGCAAATAATTTCTATAACATTATACCACTTACGAACGTGTCAAGTTTGGAAAAATGTAATTTACGTACTTACATTAGTCAAATATTCAGTAGTAAAAAGTATGGTTTGAAGTTTTATTTTTTATCATTCATTTGATTTTTTTTAGTTTATGACTATAATGCGGTATTTTAATTCATCAGGTGTTCTTAAGTAATTAATCTATCCTGTAGATAAGAAATCCGATAATAACACGTTGAATGCCGGTATCACAAATTAATAATAATTAGAATTTAATATAATTGGATTATATCATAAGATCAAATTAGTGTTCGTTCACTAAAATGCAACCCCGAACGCCCTGAACCCAAACTCTACGAAATAAAACAATCTATTAATTGTTTTGTAAGTAACTAGAGTTACATCGAAATCTGACATCAAAGTATTTCCAAAGAAATTTAATAATAAATTAAAAATAAAAAACATTTTTTACAAAGGAATTTTCAATAATTAAGAGACGAATATGAAGTTGATGAAGAATATAAAGATTTCGAAGAATTTGAAGATTTTTTATTTTTTATGTAAATGTAGAGGGAGGAGGGGTGTATTAGTACCATTGAAAAACAGAGTTGCCCTTGAAATTTCCAAAGATCTCCTAGTTTCAAAAAATTGTTTTTGCTATGTTACGACTTCCTCGATACCATATAAATTTTCTTTACATTCCCACAAATAACAGAAGTGATTAAAGTTAATGACCCATCTTGTAAACCCTGAAATATTTAGAGTGTACGTATTTTCTGCTTGGAATCTTAGAAGTTAGAGACATAGTAGAAGAGTGTACGTTTTCAAATGACAAACGAGAATGTTATCGGCAACTAGTGGTCAAACTTGTCATTTTCCATGTGACGAGGATTTAATCTTACTTGTAGACAAGTTTCTTTTGTCATATTTGAATCTCCAATGATAGATTAGGTAAACAGTAGCTGTATCATCCCCTACGATATACTCGAAATCGTGTACTTTTAATATTTTATTCAAAGAGAGAAAGAAAAGAAACAATGTTCCTTATATTTTATGATGCATTTAATGTTTAGCCAACTACGTGTCTACCTACGTTGAAACAAGTAAGAGCAATATCTTATCTCGTTAAAAAAAACAGTCAAACCTTTTTTGTTCCTTTTGTGATATATGACATTAATTTTATTAATAAGTTGAACGAACTCGATGCTGATGTATGTAGAGAATTTTAGTAAAAAATGTTTCAGTTTCACCATTAGTTTTACACTCGTGTTTAGAGATTCGATTGATGTTCAATACGTAGAACCAATGAACAGACGAGTAATATTATCAAAATGTAGCTCGAAGTATTAGAAAATTATTGTTATTTATCATTGTATATCATTGAACGATTCGGTAAGTTTGATGTGTGCGCTGATTATTCACATAAACGTTTGATGGAGTCTGTGCATGTACATAACAATACAACGATATACGTATCATGAAATGGTATAGTTAACGATACATTCGTTTATTATTATAATCGAGCAATGCATGGAGGAATTAATGGTTAGACGAATATCAAACAAACGAAACAAAACAAAGTAAATAATCAACGTGTTATATATCAAACATTTACCAACGCACGTCTGCAAATACATACATATTTATTGTACAATTTATGGTTTTTTGGTTAACCTATATAAATATTGTCCCAATTATGTGTACGACCTGAAAACAGTAAATTTTCCACGCCGATACAAATCGGAATTTCCTTTACCCATTTCGCAAACAGATCCCCGTTCTTGTGATATTTGTCAGATAGCATTTGTAAATTGGGTATTCGAGCAATCAGTAGCACCCTAAACATATTGTTTCATTATTAATATTTTTTAAGAATATTAATCTTATAAACATTTATAACGATGAATTATGAAATGTTTCAGTTACGTATATATGTTGCATCCGTGAATGACAGCATTTTGACGATTATAACAGGTGATTTAAAGAAACACGTACATACATACCTACGTACAGTAAATAATTAAATCAGTATATTAAATTCTAAAATTGTACCTCCTTGCTTCATAACAGATAATGTTTTCAGTATGTGCGAGGCATTGACACAAAATTCTTTAGAATATTTCGATACGTAAGCTTATAACTACGCTATTTACAAGACTTATGCTAGATATCATCCCTCTCCCCTTTTTTACAAAAGTAATACACATATTGCATTGAAAAATTTACAATAAAATATAGTATATGCTGTAAAATTTTTGAGTAAGTCGTTTCACTTGATTATATTTCTATATTATTTTTATTGAAATAATACGTATATTTGATAAAACCTTTAATAAATATTCAGTCAGCAAGTTTTAAAATAGGCTGTGTTGATAACGATTCCAAAGGGTAAAAATATATTTATCTTTCTATAGGATCATTTTTCCAAAAAGATACTTAAATAATTTTAAAGCACAAAGGGATTAAGAGTTCGTATTCAACGCACAGAAATCTACAAGATACGTCTAATATTGTAACTAGGGATTGAAATATTATTATAAAATGTATTTTATGATAACTGTAAAATGTAATATATAATTCCCCTTATTCCAGACCCACGAATTTACAAATTAGCCAATTTTGAAAATTTGTGTTTCTAACAGTTTTAACTGGTACAGTAACGCCCGTTTATCCGTGGTTATACAACGTACACTCACGATCAATCCCTCAAGAAAAATGTTAATATCCCAACTTTTCCCCTGTTGGGCTTCGACCCTATCTTAAAGGTAGTCGCGAAGAGAATGACGATGTAGGGCAGGAGGTCCCATACATATAGCTCTGTGCCCCCCCCCATTAAAGTAGAAGTGATAATTTACTGATTAAAATTATTTTTTTTTCTAAATTACTTTTAGTATCAGTATTGTCAAAATTAAGATTTTAAAAATTCCTGCTTCCTGTATATCGTAGAGAAGCTTGATCTGATCGCGAGTGTACATGCATGTATGTTACTTTGGTATAAAGTTAAGAACAGAAGAAGCAGTGGTTTAACTCAAAAAATGAAAATTTGTACACGAGTTTGGCATAAGGAGGACGATATAATAAATTTAATGAAATATAATTCATGCTACTTTTAAATCAAGTGGTCATCAAGTAGCATTAGTGCCAGGGAAATGTACAAGAAATTACTACGGTGTAATTTATTAAGTTTATGATTTGTTCTATTAATTCCTTGCGGACAGAGCACTTGTAAATTGGACTTAATTAACGTCTACATTTGTGTATACATTTGTCACTACCTTAACACTTACGCAGTCGCTACCACGAACTCGGGTCATTTATGATCCTATTTTTCAGTACGGTTCTCAAGCAATCAAGCACGCGATATCGCGTGATCGGATTTTTCTGGGTTAACGACATCGAAAGTGTTAAGATCGAGTTTGCAGGGAAGTAGCAAGTAAATGATTCGAAAGATTTGTAAAAAACATTATCAAGGTGTTGTTTCTATGAGCATCTTAGGTATCCAACACGTTAATTTGAAATTATATCACGTTTCGTGGAACGTTCAGAGACGTCTTGATTTTTGGAATTATATTCTTTTGGGAAGTGACAAGTGACCATGCGTTTGCGATATTTCTCCGTTTGATGATTCATTCTCAATTTTATTTTTTATAAGAAGAAATTCATTATCGAAGATGTACAGTAAGGAGCAAAGTGAACCAATGATACCAGTTCTCCAGATTAATATTATTATTTATTTATTTATGTTTTAATATTGATTCATTTTTGCTCTTCACTGTAGGTAGTATCTTTAATATACAGTATATCATTCTAGCAGTATGCACGAATTTTTAGCCATTTTCAAAGATAAAATAAAAAAAGAGTTATTAACCAAAATTGATCAATGTTACAGGGATTACCTATAATGATAATGAATATATTTCAAATAGCTTTTTCTCATTATTGTTATGTGTATATTGTACATTTAATATTGATAAATGTTGATCAATAACTCTTTCATATTATATTATTGCAAATGGTTGAAAAATCGTGGGTACGGTTAGCGTGAACATATTGTATAATACATTAACATTACACTTTATGAATATCAAAATCTGCGAAATATACTAACAGTTGTTAGTATGTACTAATAGCCAAAAGAATCGAACCATCCTTGAGAAAGACTATTAAATTCAATATTTTCTAATATGATTTAATAACCTTCGTTAATAACAGAAAATACCTAATTTTTATCAATGAAAACAGTGATCTGTATATCTTGCCACTTTGATTTTAAATCAAAATATAATAAATAAATTATAAAGTAATGGAGAAAATACTGTACTTTGGAGCTTCATTGTCATTTAAGATTGCGTGTACAGCTAAAGGGACTTTAATATTCATTTGCACCAACAGAAAATTCGGGCTATAGGTGACCATAACTGGTGTCTCCGTAGTGTAATCGCGTCTAATACTTACTTAGGGTAACGACAGACGATGCTGGGGACGGCTTGATTCTCTCGGGAGATAACTTTCGACATATCTGCCCTATCCTGCAGTCCGTCACAATTTATTTCAGGCAGGGTTGCTAGAGATAGGAAGAACAGGGATACGTATGATGTAGTAGGAAGTAGCACCGGGGGCAGAGACGCCACGATAGAGTGTAAGATAGGCATGGGCATCTAGTAGTAAATAAATCCAGAGCGCTCCGCTACGCTCCAGAGCTTGTCTGCGACCTCAAAGCGGCGCGCGAACTGAACTGAGCGGCGGAAAGTGTATCCCCACTCCGCCAGTATCTCGCGCCTGCGCGCTATGCGCGCTCGGATTAGCCACTGTTTTTCCTTAATAATTTAAAAACGAAGCTTCAAATAACATTTTCGCAAAGGAAAATAATGTAATATGTACATAATATGCCGACCACATTACCTACAACTCGACATTCAACAATAACACGTTCCAGTCCATTTGAAACATTTATAAAACACCCTGTATAAAATCGAACACTGTTTGATGAAATAAAACTATCGCAAAGTAATATTTATATTACATCAACTTAAGGTTTAAAATTTGTTATAAATGACCATACTAACTTTTCATAAATATTTTTAATATAAATTGGCTGATTGTTAGAGAACCGTCGTTGTTGTTATTTATTAAAGTGTTGTACGCTAAATATCAAAAGTTTAATACGATTTGATGACATAAAAGTACCGTGAAATAATAAGTGTTATTTTACAGTACTTTTATGTTATTAAATTTAAAAACAAACTTTTGATCATAATATCAAAAGTGCAGTTACCTAATATTTATCAAATTTTAATAATTCGTGACTAATTACACGATAAATGTTCGTAGTGAAATTTTTGCACGAGATATCACGAATGTCGCCGCACCCTGTATAACTGTCAAGCTACTTAACAATCATCGTTCGTGACTTGCATGTCATAAACTGTAATTTTGATCAAAGAGTGGTCCAGTGATTTTGGCTATTAGCTAACATACTAAAATATCTACGATGATCTGCTTTTAGGATATTAGATTAATAAGTCCTAAATCCTTCGTCATTTAGTATTGATTTATTATGCAAAATGCACCATGTTAAATTCGTTAGACTCATCGAGACTCTACCGTGGAATCTGAAGGCTTGTTAGCAATGGTAGCGGACAGTGCTCTACATTCTCAGCAGCAACAGTGTTCAATTCGAGGGGAGTATCAGCAAACCGGAAGCAATAACGAGAAAGGAAGCGCGGAGGAATCTGTTATCGAAACGAATAAACCTGGCGGTGTTACGAGTGAGGAGGAATGTGTGAAGAATCACAGCTGGAAAGGATTCAGTCTGAAAAGGCAACTGAGCAAAGTTGATCTGAAAATAAAAAGTACTTTTACACCGGCTTTGGTTACATCTCAGGATGGGGTACTTGTATGCTTTTTAATATCATTAGAAATAGAGTGATTAAATATTATTTCTCGAAAAAATTGAATAATCTCTTTGGAATTTATTAAATTAATATATAAATTTCTTAAAAGATTCTCTTTTTTGACAAGTATTCTTCTAATCAGGGCCGAATTAAGGTTTATGGGAGCCCGGGACTTTCAAACCTTTAAGGGCACCCTTGGTTGAAAAATGAAAATTTATTCTAAATAAAATTAAGTAACATTGAATCGTAGAAAAAGAGGGCAACGGTAAAGAAAAGTTCATTTAATATTTTTTGGCATAGAACTCCTTAGACCCCTCCCTTAATTCGGCGCTGCTTTTAATATGCCAAAGATTTTAGACAAAGTAGTAACATTGTCAGTTTATTTAAAATAATCTCTGTATCGCGAGAACCGCGAAATTCGAGGTGTGAAAAGTATATACAAGTACCCCATTGTCAACAGGTAGGCAGTGATTCTAGTGGTCAAAAGTCTTCCGTTTTTTACTGTAACGTTAACGAAAGCACGGCTTCGTTATCCCCGGTCGAATCAGAACCTTCGTTAACATCCGAAGATACGGTATATGAGAATGAGAGTCCGAGTAATCAAGAAGCGAGGAGCCCGATGATCGAAGGGGACAGTACGAAATTACCGAAATTTCCAAACGACAACAGTCAACAAAAAACAGAACTCGTACGGCCTGGTAATCTAACGTTAGTCGACCAAGAACTGAAACCTCCGAGATTGAAGAAAATCGTGAAGTTGAAGCAAGCTAAAAGAGAGGGTCGTTTGTTGTCAGTGCCGAATTTAAAGCTTCCAAAAAACGACCCGACTATTTGTGACCTAAGGTGCGAAGAAAACACCGGCTCCGAATCCTTCACCTGCAATCTAATAAGACGATTCAGTAAGTGTTTTAAATTAGAGTAGAGGAGAGTTAGTGTTGTTCGTGTGTATTTAGTAACGTGACATACGTTATAGAGTATAAACGTAACATGCGAATGAGAGAGTAGGTGTGAATGAGCATTTTAACTAACAGATACCGTTTCTCTTTGCGTGCCAATTAACCCGTCAGGTTCAATCCTAATGCCTCCAAACGGGTGTGTCGTTGATCGTGACTAACATAATTAACAAAAAAAAAAGGAATACTCTACCACGCTTCGGCTATCTTTTTCTCATTTTCTTTGAGTTGAACAGAAGGCCTAGGATGCTCGTAGATTCATTCTCTAAAATAATACTCTTCTAGAGGTAAAGACAAGTGTCTATTACGAACTGTAAGTTGCCAGAATCAGAGGTTTATGTGAAATACTAAGGTGTTTAATGACCCATTGGTCGATGTTTTATGGTACGAGACCTATGCGCGTATCGAGTCATCGTTAACTCGGACATGCGAAAGAACTTGTCATGGTAAAGCCAACCGCGACGCTAAATCCTAAGCTTTTCCTTAGAATAATTTCGCCATTTGTGCATGACTGATGCAACTGTTATCACATAGAAATATTGTGATTTTAGTTCTTTTTCAGTTTCTAAATCATGATGTACAGCGGAACTCCAGACTTCTTCCACTCTGTGTTTCTTTCCCTCGAATTTACATTGGGCAAGTAGCCGAAGCTACTGGTCTTGTCAGTACTTTGGGAGCGAGAAAGGACAGAGCCTGTTAGGACAGCTATCTTCCTTGAGAAAGGAAGATATGTAGACTCTGTCTCTTCTTCTCGCCTCCGACTACTTGCTTAATGTAAATTTGGCTTAAGTTCATACTTGACAAGTAAGCCGACAAGTAAGATAGAGTCCCTCCTTTTTTGTTATAATCTACTTGAGGGGAAAGATTACGAAGTGGAGGAAGCCTGGAACTGCATTGGGCATCGCTACCTTAGAGCCCTTATCCCCTCCGCCCCTTTTCTTTCTTTCTGAAGCATGTACCATCTATCTTTTTGTACGCGTCATTGAGTCTAATTAAAATGTAGATACGAATTTTTGACAAATTCAAGTTTTATCTATGAGTTTTTCACAAATTATAGTAAAATAGGTAATATACGTAAAGTGGCAACATTTCCAAACGATATAAAATGAAACGAAATTACTACTAGAACATCACAAATTAATTTAACAACCTAATAACGGATAAACTATTTTAAAAACTAAGCATCTGTTGAAAGATCACTTTTCTTTTATTTTTATTTTTGCTTTTGGTTTCAGCATAAAATCTTTTTGTTACTCACTTATTGGTTTTAAACATTTTCATGTTTATGATATTTGGTTATGTGGAATAAACTATTGAATTTGAATAATTCGTGGAAAGTGTAGAGTCTAATATAAGAGTCAGTCAATATTTTATCAAAATCGTCCAATAGTACACTGTGGAACTAAGAAATACAAAAATTCATGGAATTTTATAAGATCTACAAAACTGACTTAAATAAGATTCCAGGTTCCAGTACACAAAGGATGCCAAATGTTTAAAACTAAAATTATTTAAAATTTAAAGTGTATGAAATCAGAAGAAGCTATTCGAAGAACGTATCTGTAAGGTACAGAGTTCAAATATTTATGCGCACGGAATATATTTTCATGCTCGTTTGATGCTAATACATTCCATGTACAGGGTATTTCATTTATCATGATCATATTGAACATTCTCGTATGCATATTATACTTAAAAAAAGAAGTTCTCTTCAACATCACCTTTAAGATTATTTCATAATGCGTTACATAATTACAATTAATCACACATACGACTACCACGCGATTTCTTTTGGGTCTCCCCAATATACGCCTATATTAATCGGTCCCCCAGGGATTTCGCAGAATTTCCTAGAATTCTATTCTAATGGTAACTGGGTCAATTTCAATTCTGAGCCTTGATCAACTAACGCGGCAGTACTGTGTCCTTTGAACACTACTGGTAAACGCTATGCAATTGAATTTCATTGGGGCGTGTAACCCCCCCAGCTATCTCACCCTCCCAGCCACTGTCAAATTTAACTTTTTATTTTTCCATTATGTCGATGTTTTAACAATATATCAATTTAGGGGCAAAATTTAGATAACTGTAAAACGGAGGAGGGTTAAATACTATTATTTATATACAGGTGTTTTTCAACACCTTGTGTTTTTGCAGCTACTATACAGTAGTGTCATTTTAGGGTGGAATTTTGTCCGAGTCCGCTCGACTTTTTCCAACCGAACGTGTTTCTTTCGAGTTGCCGATCCGATCTGATCCAAGTTGACTCGATTCAACGTGGCACTACTGTATTTCATAAAAAGTTCGATATGGTATTAATTACGTTAATTTTTAACGTAGAAAATAATCGGTCCACCTAGGTAGATGTTGGGCCTATTTAAAATAACACTTGAAGGTGAATTTGAAGGAATCTTTTTTTTTTTATAGTATCACACGAGCCCTTTCCAGTCGTATAATTTCCCAATAGCAAGAAAATATTCAGCGTGATAAATGGAATTCAACGGATTCCAATTGTTATTCTTGCAACCTTTTTACAAAGTAAAAGATAAGAATAATATATACCCATGTACTATATCACACGCAACGATATACATATGGTTTTATGTGGTGTGTATATATATTGTATCATACACAATATACATATTCCAGCCCCCTTTGTATTGCAACAGCTTGTATCCCACACGCCTTGTTCGTTCGTAGAAAATACCTTTGTTTGTGTACCAGCATCCGTATATTCGAAACAAGTATTTGGAATGCGTAGTTAAAAATACTCCATCGTGTGAGTTTCTTTATTTAAGATTCAATTTGTGTTGAATTTGTTTAAACTCGTCTAGACAGCAACCGTTTCGTTGATTGAAATGAAGCATTCTATCGAATGCACCGCGACAGATAATAACGTTTGATACTTTCTTCGATCCGCAAAACCCACGATATCGGTCATTTATTCTTTGAGCGTAAACAATCTGTTAACGAATGTAAAGAAATTCTACATTAACGCTTTTTCAGGTTCAAATCAGTTTTGCGGTCTTCCCTGACAGCAAGGTTGATTCAGGTAAAACATAAGGTTTTTCACATTTTGACAAGTTATCTTTTATCACCGAGAGAAAAGTATATTTTCATTTTGAGAATTTATTTAGATTATCTAGGTAACCTCGAGTTATTCGCATCTGTTCATTTGCGTTTGTGTGTGCGTGCGTGCGTGTGCGTGTAATACGTTCGCTATCAATCGTTATCAGATCCAGTCCGGATGATATTGACAGTATTTATGTTCCTGATCATCCCATTCGCAAGGGTACAAAATGTCACACGTGTCGCCATGAAACTTTCGACTTTCCCATTACTTTTATGAAAAGAAACCTTGTTTGTCTCTTTGCGTCTTCGCATCTCCCCATTACCGATCGCCGATCAATAAATCACAGTAGCAGGGTCTCAAGCCGCGGTCAGCTAACAAGGCAATACTGTATTCATTGTATATTTGTATATTTATTATTTTTTCCCATTTTCCTTTAAATTTGTGTATAAAGTATATTAGTAAAATTAGAAGTATTCTCTGGATCTTCCTAAATAAAGCGCAAGTTAAGAGCAAATAGTGGTTTCTGAAAGTGGCTTAGACGCCTGTCTAGAGCCATATTTTCTATAAAATTGAGGAAATGTTCAGAAATTTCGTGCCGACACTTATATAGGACATATGTATGTACATATATACTGTGCAGAGATGGCAAATTAGCCCCGAGAAGGAATGCTGCTCTGATTAGTTATAGCGTGATCTTTTATAGATCTACGTAGATGTTTTTGTTACAACCATAAAAATAGAACGCACCTATTTTCGTTATAGTCAAAATAGCAATAACAAATCGGGGTATCTCACAGATCATCAGATCTTTTCCCTCAAATCGATAATCAGTTAGATTCTACGTTCTAAATCAGGATTATTCCCGTATACAAGGAGTAATCCTAGACGAATGGGGACACATCTAGACCTAGTGAGATAGAATGTTAGCCATTAAAGTTTGAACCAGATCACGTGCAGGAACAAGGATTTTCTGAATGCAATAAAACTTTCTTAAAGGGCATATGAACATATGAAATTTTCACGTACCCTTTACATATCGGGAGAGATATTTACAAAAGAAAATGCACTGATATATTTATAGTGTCAAGCACACTGGGTTCTCTTAGGAAAACTGGCAGTGTGGTTAAAGGTGGCCTCACCATTTGTTGTATCAGGTATTATGCCCAACTTACACCAGACATTTCCGTACTTGATAAGGAACAAAATTTTCTGAAGTTCATAAACGAATGTTCAGTAACGAATGAAGTAGGTAATGGAGTTGATTCGAAATTCGTTTGTCAAAAAATCAATATGGGCACTTTCGACACTGAAGAGGAGTAGAAGGTGGCGCCCTCTGTACCGCCGTAACTCCGAAGAATACTAGCGCCCTCTATATCACTGTAACTCCTTCGACTCGCTGACAGAAGGTTTTGACTTTTAAAGAACGAAATGTCTCATGTAAATTAGGTATAATGCGTGGTAACTCTCGAGCATTTTTCTCTGTACTGCCATTCTTCCCAGGGGATTTCCCGTAGCCTAGCAGTGTACACCACAGAGTACTGATGGCTTTCCATGGTAAGGGGAAGTATAAGAAAGTTATCTTCTACCATTTCTCCAACTCATTCTTGTTAACCCTTCCCTAGTAGGAAGGTAACTTGTGTCACCAATAATTGATACCCCGGGGACTAAAGAAAAATGGTCGAAGACTTTCTCTTTACACTTCCCCTTAATTGAGGGAAGCTTAGCATGTACACAAGTATACATAATACTATATCAGCACGTGCTACCAAGAACCTAAAGGTGGAGGCTTCGGGAGGGTCACAGACGGAATTAGGCGGTGCGAGCGGAGTACCCCTCTTGCCACTGTGCCGTCCCGGATGCCAACTTGTCATCTCTGCACAGTACGTATGTATAATAATGATTACGCTCGTTCTGGTATGTGTACAAAGTAACATTGTATCATAGGTTTCGTTGTTTTTTGACGCCTTTCTCTCGGTATAACATCGCTTTTCTCAAAGCTTTTCAATATATTTTTTTGATAATTTGCACGCAGTAGCAATAGTAATAATAATAACGACACAAATGGTTACGGCATTATCAGTAACAACAGGACGGGAATATATCACCTTTCTTTTTCACTATTCTTTTTCCTTCTTTTTCGACATAATATAATATATTTATCTGTGATGGTATAGCAGATAACGCTTTGTCAGTTATGTTTATAATAAAACTTTTTTTTTTTTTTACCGACAATGACTGACTGCTATAATGGACTCTGCATAATGTATGTTAATATTCCACATAGCGAACAATTAAAAATAGATAGATCCTCGAAATTACGAACAAAGGTTTTTTTGAACATTCTGGCTGATCCAATTACACATTTTTAATCATTTAATTTCATTCGAAACATGTGCCATTTTCAGATAACAATCCTATAAAGCACGAATTAAATAATGCTTCTAACAATTATCTTGAGCATTAATCTATCTTTTAAGTTTCATTTACTTCAAGAAAACAGTAAAACCAAAAAAGGTGTTAATTTTAATTTTTAATCTGGCTTCTTTCTGTACCTACGATTTCAGAGTTTAGTGGGTATTTCCAGCAGTATTTATTTATCTTTGTGTTTTTTAAAGGCAAAGATTGGTATTCCAGTATAAACATCATTAAATTAATATTTAATTAGGTTAAAAGTTGAACTTTTAAAAACGCTTAAGAATATTTGATTAAAAAACGGAAGAGGTCAACGTCTACGATATTCTATAATGATAAATTTATAAATGTTATTTTTCGACCAAATAGTAAACAATTACTAAACATATTACGTATATTCTTTATTATTATGCATGTGAGGAATTTCGGGGAAATACTCGCCGGTGTTTATAGAACAATGTCAAGAAAACGACGTAAAAAATATTTAAAAAAAAAAAAAAAAGGGGTAAATTAGAAACGCAAGAATAAAATATAAATCTTCCGTAACCGTAGAAATTGGGTTACACGGCTAGAACTCGAGAACAGGTGGATGGTACTGATTCTTTCGTGTTTTGATCTGTCGCTCATTTGTAGATGAACGGGATGTGCATGTTGCCGATAACGCGAAGAAGTACGGTGATGGTTGGTGGTAGTGGTTGCGGTGAGAAAGGTGACAACGCCGATAATAGTAGCTATGATTACGCTGCTGGTGATGGTGTTTACGATAGCGAGAGTAGCGCTAGTAGTGTCGGCACCCCTCGATCGGTTGTTCGCAGTACAGTGACTAGCACCGATGACAATTCCAACGGTCCTAACGCAACTTCTCGCAAATCCCAAACGATAGAGCCACGTCAGAATCGTGCTCAAGGCATCCGAAAGCTCCAGAAGTGTCTGAGTACAACTACCAGCCATTATGAACTGGATTCTTCGTCGTTGAACAACTTTCCAACGACATCGTTGTTCTCTAGCCACCGTACCGGCGAGATACGAAGCTATTCGTCGACCACTCCGCAACCTTCTTTGAACTACCAGAATATCCTCTCCAACACCAGACAGTATAACAGCTTTGGTAGTATCACTAAACAAATTAATACCTTTTACTACTACCTACGATTACTATTAAATAACTTAAACGTAGATCCTCGACCACCATTTATTTTCCTGTGTTACTGAATGACATATCAGTCTAATCTCTCTTCTCTAAACGCTTTTTTCTTCGTTTCGCTCTTGATTTCATTTCATTCTCAATTAGAACCATTCTCTTCTAACCGATAGATTCGCTGCGATCAATGGAGACCTCTTTAACAGTGTATTAATTTTTCTTTTTTTTTTTTTTTCAATTTCTTTCTTTATCATAGAATCGAGTCTTGGAATATTAATTGATTTATGTTCATGTTATTTGCTTCTTTTTTCACCCTTATCTGTTGTTTTCAAGATTGATCTTTGCTGTCATGTCCTCTTCCGCCTATGTCTGATAGACAAATACTGTCTGGTCTTTGCTGATTTCAGTGTGGATACGCGACACTTCGGCGGACTTAACTATTCTGCATCGTATTCTTTTGTTTACTTCGCTCTTGATCAAATCACTCTCTCTTTCTTTCTCTCTCTCTCTCGATGAACACGAAATGGCACATCATTGAATTTGCGTGATCTCTAATTTCTCACTTTGCACCCTTTTATGACAAAATACTCTTCCGCGTTCTATCCAGTTTTCCATCTGTCTGCCTCATTTTTTCAGTTGGCTTCTTTCCTCTAATAGATGTGGCCTAATGATACACTACAATTAATCTTTCTTCTCTTGCTCGGTGTACGGTAACGCGAGACGCGAAGTGCACGAGATTTTAATCGAAAAAAAGAGAAAGCGAATTTTTGTTTTTTTTTTTTTTTTTTTTATTTCTTCAATATCTATGATCTGTTTAGATTTTTATTAAAATCTTTTGTATAACCGCGCGCGATTACTCGTATACCGAGTATGGAAGAGTTTTAGAGAGTTCAGGGATGTTGGTGAATGCCTTTTTTTAAATACAAACTGCATAATCTTGCTACTGAAAGTTTCATTTCTTATAGAGTGTGAACTGTCTATGTTTATTTCGAATCCGTATGTTTTGAGTTCTCAAGGCGGAGGATTATGTTTCGAGCTTTGAAACGCCATTCAGGGCGTGGAATTGTGTAAAACGTGCATTTAATTATCTATGAACGATATATCGGTACTAGCAGTCGCCCGTAAGAATACACTTAATTTTAATGATCGTGTTACGACGGTACAAATAGAATTCACAAAAGAATATGGAATAGGACATATTCTTGAATTCTTTTCAATACGTACTAAATGTTACAATAAATGTTATTTGTATGTAGTTTTGCTGAGAAAAAAAATCGAGAATTCACGTACGTGACTTTTGTTCAGTATTAATAACATAATACATGGTGTCCACGATGATGTTCCAAATGAAAAAAGCTACTATGTCCTTCATTTCGATTCGATGAAAGAATAGTTATCTACACACCCGATCAACTTGATGAATGTTGCAACGAATGAAAGATGTTACTCTGTGAACTGTCCTGTCAAGAGAGATACTAGTCGTGATAGATGTTGTTGTTGCTGTCGCTGTTATTATTATTATTATTGTTGTTGTGATCGCTAGTTCTTGTCATTGATGTGTCACTATTTGATACACGTACGTTTTTGTTTCTTTTTATTACCTTGCTGACCGAGATCTCTTATTAGCGAGTCCCGTTAACAAGAGAACGTTCAAAGTGTCAGGGGTTGTACTTTGACGATTATACATGTTGCATGCCCGCCAGAAATTCATCGGTGAATGCCGTGTGTTTGGTATTTAATTTTCAATTTGTTTTCGGATAATGCTGGTCGGGTAGACAAATACGACAGCTCGTTTCAACGGTCAAGAAGCTCTAGCATGTCGTCGCTCGAGAATATCACCACGGAGACCATCAGCTGCCTTACATTTGCAGATTCTTATACGAGGAAAAGTGGTAAGATTTTTCGTTGACGTTGTTTAGAAATTAAACGATCAACGTTGTTTTTATTGATTTTTAATTAGATACCGTACCTGTGCCAACATTGTGGATCGGCACGTCTCTGGGGTCTATACAAACGGTGATATTTAATACACCACCGCGAGGGGAACGACATGCTCATCCGGTTGTTGTTTCAACGTGCAGTATGTGAAATTTACTATAGTTATTAATAATACAAATTTAATTTAATTAAGTAACTCGACGGGAAGAAAATTCTGCTTTGAGATTTTAAAAGATTAGTTTTCAGTGTTTAATAGAAAGCTTTATATCTTACAGATGGATCTACTTTCAAGCTGAAAGGATGTATCCTGTCGATATCTTTTCTGGATTGTAACGGTGCCCTAATTCCTTACTCCTTCGAGTCATGGAGAGATGACAGTGTGGAGAACAAAGATCGCAACAGTATGTTTCCTTTCTTAGTAAAATCACAATTAAAAATGTAGAATTTAATATCGAAAGGTAATTCGAATTTGCCACTGCGTAGACGATTTTTACAAATATTGCCTATTCGAGAGATAATCGTACTGTTTTCTGTTACAGAGAGTCAAGGTAAATGTACAAACAGCCGGATGTCGCCGTCAATGAACGCACAAGTAATTACAGGAGACGGTTTCGAGGATCGTCAGTTCGTTGTATTAGTATCCGAAAAACAAGCGAGGGTTGTTGCTCTTCCATCGCAGAATTGCTTGTACAGGCAACAGCTGGCTGAGACCCATATCGTGATCAAAGCAGAAATTACTACTTTGAAAGGTGTGTATTTTCGATACCTTTTTAACCAACAATTTTTTTTTCTTAACGTAACAGATCAATGTGATCTTAAATAAATGTCGATAGTAAAAGGGGATGATGAAATTATTTTATTTTTGTAATTCGGTAAAAATTTGCCATCGTCTAAGCGTATGGTAATTTGAATAAGGAAAAAGAAGTGTATTTTATTTTTCAGATAACGTTTGTCTGGTATGCTACGTTTCGAATGGACACATAGCGACGTACAGTTTACCAAGCCTGAGGTCACTGATAGACGTCGATTTCCTACCTCTGATAGATTTGAGGTAAGAAGAATAAGTTTTATCTTAAATTAGCTTCACGGCAAACTAATTATTATAATTGCACAGAAATATTTCGATGCACTATATTCTATTACAACACTATAACATTTTATACATTACTAAAAGTACCGTAAAAATCAGTTCATATTTACAAAATGACCGTTATTTTGATTGAAATTTTAATCAACAATTGTTGAATTATATTAATGATATAAAATATAGATCAATATTCTGATGAGAAACTAAAAATCTTCGGATCTATATTTTGTTAGAAATATAAAGATATTTTCTAACAAATGTTTGAAATATTTTCCGAAATTATTGTCAATCATCTGCAATGATTTACTACACTACAAAAGTATCATTTAATACTAAAAATATATTTATTTCCATCAGCAGATGTATTATATTATTTGCACTAATATACCAGTTAAGCTAATTTTGTAGCACACATTGGCATGTGTTTTAATATATTGGTATATTAATTAGTATTTAAATTTCAACTTTTTGAATAACTTTATAAAACATTTTGCATATTTAATTACACTATTAATAGTTATTTACAATACCAATTAAAGTAAGTAGGCTTCCTCAAGGAAAATGGTGACGTTCTAAGCAGCCGACCTTTCCATTAGAGCTCATTAGGGCCTGATGATTAGGCGTTACGCGGGAGGATTTATATTCCTCTAAAATTTATAATATTTAATAATTAAAAATTATAGTATTTTTTTCTAAATCAATTTTAACATTAATAGCGTCAGAATTCAGATTATGAGAATTCCTGTTTCCTAATTTACGCCATTTTCCCTAAGGAAGCTTATTTTGCTCGATACTGTATTGTTGTAATTTCTGAAACTTGCATTTGAGTTCCAACGTAAAACCACTAATCAACGTTATATTGATTAATCGTAATATTAATCGTTATGAGTAAATATTTGAAAGTTATTACTTTTGAAAATGTTCGAGTTGAAGTTCTTAATTACTATCATAATTAATTACTATTTTACAATTCAGTTGACAACATTTCTATGAATATAGAATATTGAATGATGTTACTTATTATTACTGAAACGATAACGAGCAATATCTTAACATCTGCAGCATGTAATTTCATCTTTCTTACAAGTAACGTGCATTCGTTAACCCTTAATACACTTATAGCATGTTATATGTAGTACTCTTTATATGAGCACTTTTATTGCACTATTTCTTCTATACATATGTTATATAGTATGCTATATTAAATTGACGGTTTCTCTTTTGAAAAATGAATACTAAATTTGCATCTTTCTGCGATATGCAATTTCTATTTTTCTTTCTATTGTTATTTCTAATATCATTCCATTATACACAGGATATAAAACTGACAAATGAAAAATTTGAAATTCTACATGCAAATATTTATTGAAAATCTACGATAAAATTTTGTTTGCACGAGTTTTAAATTTTTGAGAAACATCTTGATACTGTTTTAGAAATTAGTTTTAGTATTTCCATTTATTTGGTCAGTATTTTTATCAATTTATGATCAGTATTAAATTAAAATATTTGATTTCACTCTGTGCCTGTTTTGTCTATTTTGAATCATTAGAAAGTCACTTATAATTTAAATTCAATTTTTTAATATTTTTAACACATAATGCAAATTTATGGAATCTTGAATTAGAATTTTGCTAATCAGAGTATAAGTACATTCACGCTTCATCATTATATTTTTTTCAATTAAAAAATATTTTTTTTACAAGTTGTATCTGCAATATTATTCAATACATAATCTCGAGGTACATCGCCTTGTTAACAAATTTGATCAAATTCGGATTGTAGAAACTTATTTAAACATGAAAAGATTTGATGTTTTAAGGGTTAATGCTCATTACGCAAACTAAGAAATACGAAAAAAAAAAAAAGAAAACTCTTTTTACTCGTGTATGGCTTAACGCTCACTTTTCTCCTGTCTCTGTAATCTCTAACAGTTTTCAGACTACAAAACATGGCATTGTAGACCCCATGTTGTCCATATGGGGTCATCAACTCTTTGTTAATGGCGATACCGAGCAGTAAGTGAGATCTATAAAGTACACCTCTCACAATTGTATTTTATACGATACATGCAATGCCTTCTCTACGTACATTTTAATTTCTTTCCAATAATAAATATATATCATTTCATTCCTCTCCTTGATCTTGTTATTAATTTCATAAAAGATATTTTAAAACCTCATTCAATCATTTGCTTTTACTTTATTATTACGCTTGTATACGCAAGTGCACATTCCTTGAATTTTAGTACTTTTCTCCTATTATACGTTTACACTTTCATGCAGATACTGCGAAGTAAGCATATATTGTAATAACATTTCTCGTATATTTTTTCCAGAATTGCAAAGACACTTTGCTTCAGCAATAAAGGCCACGGTCTGTATCTTTCATCCCCCACTGAGATTCAAAAGTTTTCCGTGTCCAGTGAATTCTGGTGAGTTGTACCGCAAAAATTTCATACCGCATGCGTTTTTTATTTAGATGTCATCATTGTAAAAACTTCTTGTTTATTAAATTTACTATATAACATTTAATTATTATTTTAATCGAACAAAGGAGGAAATCTACTGTCGCGTAAATTAAATGCATTTTATGAATAATTCATTCAATGTTTGAATTATCTATTTTAATTATATTTCCAGTGGAGAATTAACCGAAATGATGGGAGACCTGTTTATTGGCCACGATATGCCTGAACCACCTAAGGAAAGTTTCTTTAAGGGACTTTTTGGCGGAGGATCGCGAAGTCTCGACCGAGAAGAACTATGTAAGTCGTTTTATAAATATTAAAATCCCTTCACTTAAAATATGAACAATAACAGCCTGTTCAATCCTGGGTCAATCGTCACACAAACTTACAAAACATATTAGCAGGAAGCCTTCACCGTCACCGAGCGACATCTGGCAGTAGTATAAGTCCGTGATTAAGCAGACGTACTCGAACGGCTAGGCCTACAATTTCTTGACCCTACCTATTATAGAATGTCTTAAAAAGATTTTTAAGACTTAAAACGATAAACAGATCTTATTAATAGGCGATCGAGCAAATTTGCCATAAAATGAAACATTGTATATTTGTATATTTCAGTCGGCGAGTCAAGTGGTCGAGCGTCTCGTACAATAGCGAAGCACATACCAGGTCCAAACGCCGGAGCAGAAGGTATTCGCGAACGCGTGACAACCGCTACAGGGGAAGTGAACATGGCCCATCAGATGGTCATGGAGCGAGGCGAGAAGCTTTCTCAATTGGAAGAACGAACGGCGCGTATGATGACCGAGGCAGAAGGCTTCTCGCAGTCTGCTCATGGATTAATGCTCAAGTACAAAGACAAGAAATGGTATCAGCTATGAGAACATCCCTGGAAATTTATCCATCTCTACTGTAATTTAGCGTTCACATTTCACCCGTGAGTTCTATCGTACTAACCGATACGGAGAAGAGTTAAAAAATTGTATCGCGAACTTTACACGCACACACAGGAAACATGTTACACGAGGAAAAAAAAAAAAATAAGAGGAAAGAGTGAGAGCTATGTTTGTTTGTGTACGTATGCGTCATTGAATAAAAATAGGGGAGATAAACTTTTACAAGCAGGTAATACACACGCACATCTTTGAACAAATTGAAGAAAAAGAAAAAAAATATATATGGAAGAAAAACTGTAGGAAAAATTCGTAAATATACACGTATATAAACACGAGTAAGATTAAGTACGCGCGATTTCTCAAACTGTAATAACAAACTTCTATTATAAACGGATAAAAAGAAACAAAAAAAAAAAAAAAAAAAAAAAAACACGACAAATGCTGCAATTGAAGTTCAATGAATTATGTTAGCAGACCTATAGTTGTATAAGATTTTAAGGAAGCAAAAGTTCTTAGGCAACAATAGAATCATTCAATTACAGTGTGAGTCAATACATGAAAACTATGTGTAAACAATTTGCCTTTTAATCGACGTTGCTCGTTAATCCATTCGGAAATGATGCAATGTTTGTCGTTAGAAGGCCGGGTAAACGTTGTTCCGAATGTATTGACAATAACCGAGACCGATAGCGCACCGAATAAACATCGGATACACAGTATAATATATAATTTATCCACGATAAGGGACTCGTCGAGCTCTTTATTATCGTCGTCGATGAACTGTATATTCGTTGTTATTAATTGTAGTTAACGCTAGACAATGCTATGTATATAAAGGAATACATGCAGTAGGAAATATTATACGTTGACAAAAGAGCTGTTTGTATAATATAACCTGTTGTAAGTTACGCTACTTCAGAGCCGTTGATGAATTCAATTGAATTCATGGCATCACGTATATTGTTAATTAATTCATATGAATTTATCATCGTCCTGAATCATCGTACTGCTTCCATAGCAATAACTGTATAGTTGATGTTAATGGTACTAATCCACCTGAGTTAAACAACACTATATTAAATGACGTGTCCTGCAGAGATTTAGATTGCGAATCTCGTCTCGAATTATGAGTTTCCTTGGACAATATAACGTAAATAATATTTTAACCACCGTCACACCCTTTCTGTCCCGAGAAAATATATTGTAATAGAAGATGAAAGATATAAATGAAGTTCCAACTGTGGATTCACGTTTAATCGTTTTCGATTGAGAAACCTACTGAATAAACAAAACATTGAAGTGAATAATTTTAAAGTGAAACAGAAAAGCGTCTTGCTATTCGATAAGAAATAAAAAGAGTATATATATATATATACACAAACACGGTATACATACTGTGCATTATAAAAGTATAATAACATAGAAAATGTTCTTCGAACGAACAAGTTGTTTACCGCTCTAACAATAGTATAGTAGTTGAATGTACGATAGTTGCAGCGACAAAGAAACTATGCAGAAAGATACATTACTATCTAAGTGTTTGATAATATAACATATTCTAACACTTGTTGTATAAAAAAAAAAAAATGTACCGTTTAGGTGATTCTGAATTGTTTATCATATCAAAGGGGTTGGGACGTGTTTGAAAGTAATTGATTGTAAGACACGAAAAGAGGGGATATTCCTTTTTGTTCAGCTTCTCCCGAATGAGAGATCAACATGTGAGAAAGTTGTACTTTCAATCGAATTATTTTCATACACTGTACAAATTAATCAGATGGTTCATTGTTTCCACTGATCAATTACCAAGGTACAAAAGAAGAAGTTGTTGTCGCTTATTTCGAGAAATGGAGCTCTGCTGTATGAGAATGTCTGCTGTAATTGTTTTTATAAACTCATACATCGTTACAGCTATTCGAAAAGCAAGAGTAAAAAAAAAAAAAACAAAAAACAAAACAGGTTTTGCTGTATCCTTCGTTATCGAGTATTATTCATTGTCTATTCTGTCTAACGCTATTTTGACGCTGTGGCCTGAATCTGTAAATCTACTATTGTACATGAAATTTTGTCCTTAGATGCAGCGAATCTAATCTAATACTCTCGATTTATACTATTACTAATCTAGTACAATTCTTATTTTTCAAGAGATCTAATACCACGTTATTGTAAAACTACTGCCTCGAGGACAGATGTATCTTGGCTCCGATTAATAAATGAGTTTCAACTGAGCTCGAGCTTTTCGATGAATTTTATTCCATAAAATATAAATTATTTTGTTGAATAGCCAGTAGGATTAATATTTCATTAATATTTCATATTTCTGGGGCCCAGAAAGGAGTGACCCTACGATTGGAGGGGAGGGGGCCAAAATAATAAATTTTCTATTTTGACCCTACATCTGAATTCACATTCTTTTATGTTTATTCTGTATGTCTTTTGCGGTAATATGCCAGTACCTACTGCATTTCATTTATTTTAAAAAGGTAAAGTAATTTTCTGTTTTATTATCTACCATCAGATGGTATTGAGAGTACCATTCTTTTGGGGATACTAGTTTTCTTTTTAAATCATACAATTTATTATTTATAAGACTGCCATAATGATAGTATCCTTTTTCTAGTATTTTAATTACAATTAAAAAAATAAAAAATTTTAATAATTTCTAATTTATTTTTATTTCATATCGCGTTCTGTCAAGATAAAAATGTTACTTAATTTGCCTCTCATTAATTACGTTTCATAACAGCACAAATATGATACAATAATTATGGGTGATGTTTTATAACCGTAAGAAAATTATTTATATATTCAATATCAAGAGTTAAATAATATACCCGAAAAAAGGTACATATATGTGGTCAATCTCTCAAAAGTAGGCTACGAATACGGATCACGATTATACAATATACACTTGCAAATGGTAAAGTTACTTTCACCTTTTTTAATTGCATTAAAAAAAGGGAAAGTGGTATCCGGCGAAATAGCAAGGACACAATAATTTGGACCAAAATTTGGGAAAACCACGTCTACTCCGTTTAACGCGTTGTCTACTATAAGGGCCATCGATAACCGGCGCTTCAAATTTTCTATAATTAAATGATTAATAAAAACAAATTTTAAGCATCTCACCTAGATTTTTATTTTTCAAAAATAAAAGTACGTATCAAGAGTTAAATGAACTCCAATTAGGAAAATTAGATTGCTGGTATGATTAAGAGGTAAAAAATGGCGCTATCCTATAAGACAACATCCTTACATATCTAATGGGAAACGTAACAGGAGTACACATGGTCAAGTTGCATAATGAATGTTAATTTTTTACGCAACACCATTTGATTCTATCCTTTGGCACTTTACCGTATCGTTTCCAATTACGACATCTAATTATAAACGTTTAATTATCCTCGTCATATGAAACGTTCTATGTATATCATTATACCTACTTATTATTTATGCCATTCTTTATCATGAAATTGATCAAATAAAAACAAGGCATTAATTATAGAGTATTTGCTATCAAATGTACTAAAAAATTTTATGTCCTGCCCAAATTTATTTTACCTGCCCATTTTCGAAGAAAATCTTTCTGGTTACCGTCATTCATGTAGCACAATGTATCAAATATTGACATTTCGTTTTGCTTAATTATTCTACTTCCAATTATTCTTTTGACGTCAGTTTTTAGGGAATGTACGTAGAAAATATACAAACTGAATATCTGGGTATTCTCAAATGACTAACATTGCTCAGTCTGTAGTTGTGAATTAATTATAGAGGTATACATTTATTTTCATTTATTTAAAAAAATCTACTATCTCATATAGGGTATCAACAATCTAACATGAAAACTGTAATTTATTAATTTCAGCCCCCTTTCATATTTTAAATATTTGCAAAAATCTACAACAAAATTATTATTCATAAAATTCCAAAATCATCCCTCGTACATCATAAAATGGTGTCTGGAAAAAAATCATCAGTAAGGATGTTAATGTCTCATTCAAAATGTAACATCGATTCCTCCATCACGAACGACAAAGAAATTGTCAGTAGATTATTTCTTAGTCAGCAAAATCGACTGTCCGGTCATTCATTTTGCGAAAGAGAATCCTACAAAAAAAGGAAGAGAAAAAACGAACAGACAAGGTTCGATGCACGTATGTGGACAGTCCTCAACACGTACGTTTTACCTGGTGTCCCTACCACCACTTTCTTTGGTCAGTTGGTGGGTACCGTGTTCTCGTTACCGTGGTCCACGCTGCACCGCTGTTCCACTATCTCCTCATTCACTTCGCGATTCGACAAGATCGAAGAACACGCGGATACCTGAACTCACCTTCAATCCTTCAGTAAACGGTCCGCCCGGCCGTAACCCTTATTCGTTAGTGCGCGGACTTCGATCAACACCATTTTAAGGAATCCAACATTCTACAGAATTTTGCAATGCGAAAGTGACAAACTTACTTCGTAAAACATCCATACGAGACACTAGTGGCCATTGTTTCATTTTACTTAAATTATTTATAAAAATAGTGTACGAGGGTGTAAGTCAGGAAAAATAGGAAGATAATGAAATTTTCAAGAAGTTACAAATTTTTGTAGAAAAATTGAAAATATTTTATATTGAAAAATTCATTTTTACCTAGAAGATACATTTTTACTTGGATAACTTTTTTTTATTTTTTGAATTAATGGTTCACCCTATTGGGTGATAAGAATCATTTATAATTGTATACTGTATAGAATTTTAAAAAGTAGGAAAAATCTAGGGGGTAAATATAAAGCAAGTAGTGCGGTGATTACCGGTTGACGAAGAACCTGACAGCTGACAGTAACGTGATAATCTCAGTTGGAACACGAAGAGGACGTGGAACCGTTGAAGAGGAAAGACCACCGTGGGATATTGTGATTAAGGAAAACGAGGATCGTAGTTCGAATAAAGTATCAGTCAAGAAAACTTAGTGCGTGTAGCACCTTGGTGATAGAGAAACTTGCCTGGCATGATTTTCTTTCTTCCATCCACTCACCTCCACGAAACTGTTTGTGTTACATAAAGACGGATTTTACTGGCCAGTTAATGAACCCGGTTGTGCGAGCATGTAGGGGACGTCTGTCGGCGATCTTACGTAAGTAAATATGAATTCTTATCTGAAAGTAGCGAAGAATGTGGACATTACGCAGGATCTAACGGAGAATACGATCGTAAGCGTAATATCTGACCCCTTCGGTGACGCTTGCTCTTATTACATTCTAAAAAGAAATATTCAATGTTCTTCGCGGACTCAATTAATATTAGGTATTATTTGTACTAATAGCAATATTAGTATTAGGCATATTAATATTGATTGGAACACGACTCAGATAATATCAGAATTGAACATTATTACAAATAATCTTTTGATATAAATTTCGACCAGAATGAAGATATTCAAGAGTAAGAGATAAATCATTTGTTCGAATAAAGACTTATTCGAATAATTAAAAATTCAAACTTTATTTCAAATAGAAACGTCTTTAAATTGGAAATTATTCGCTATTTGAAATATTTTGCTTTTATTCGAGATTTTTATTCAAAGATTTATAAATAAATTTTCACTCATAGAAAATTTATTTCTGATCTTTTAACGTTTTCATTTTATTCAAAATATGTATTAGAAGATTATTTGAAATAATGCCGAACTCTGGCTTATGTTGCACTAAATTAATTATTACAATATTAGATGATATTAATATTGCAAGTATATTGTTCTGGACCATGCGGGAATCCGTTACGTCCGCAGCAATCATGTTAATACGTTTCTCCCAGTGATAGAACTGCACCTGTTACCCCCGATTCGAACATGTTAAGGGTAGAAATGATTTAAGTTTGGGTACTCTATAAAGTTAAGTTATTAGCAAAACTTACTGTCAGTTCAATAACAATTTCTTTTTCTCCGGAAAATTTTTAACTATTTCAGTAAAACAGCTATAAATAATTTGCAACTTTTATCAGAACCTTATCAAAGTTGTAAAATCTATATTTCATAATTAGATAGAAAGTAAAAATTTCTTCCTTTTTTTTAAGTTCTGTAGACAGTAAATCAGCGTTAGAGATATAAGAAAGTTTCCATTATTTTTAGTTGAATTTATCATATTTTATAATTGTGATTTTCTCATTTCGAATTCACTAAGTATAATTTGCAATAAATATTGCCCAACTTTCCATTTGTAAATGTTCCGGCTACTCGCAGACGTTTTTTGTTTACTTTCAACAATTCCTTCTTCCGGATTTATGTTATTTTAACTGAAAATTAAAACAATGGTTTCGTAACCGGTACTTCATTTTCCTTTCATTACATTCATTAAATATCCGGATACATCTAAAGAAAATCTGATTAACTTTTTATTCATTCAGTATTGTTGCCAAGAAATGTACTTGGTTTTACAAAAATAGTATAATTAAATTATTTCTCAACGAGAATTTATAAAAATTTCAAAATTTTCAGAGTATAACAAAAGAAATTAAAAATATTTGTCCAGAAAGTTTATCTTTTCACACAGATACCATGAAATATTTAATAATTATAAAATTTACCTTTCTTTTAAATAAGAAACAATTGCTTTTGTTTTATTACAGTCACTTAAGCATACTTATTTTTACATTCATCTCTTTACCATTAAAACATTTCTCATTAAAATTTTAATTAAAAAGAAAAATGAAATTTTGGCCCGAGTTCGTGATACATCGCGTTAGACGCAACAGGTCGCGGCATAATGACCTTTCACCTTACCAACCACCGTAAAGTTCAAGTAAAATTTCTTTATGTTAACGAGGCGTGTAACTTTATTTCTAGGATGGTGTTAAACCGTATTTTTACGAACGTAGATAAAATGTGTTAATTCGAATAACAACGCTTTGGAATTTGTTAGATCATCATTAACGTGGCGCAAGCTCAAGGAATAGCTGAGTCATTTAT